TTCAGTGGTACTTACGTGACACGAACGGTAAAACAAGCATGGTATCACGAAACATGAGCGACTGAATGCACAAGTGTACTTACAAACGTTAGACATGTTTACCTACCTTCTCATGACTTCATTTACGTAACATTTAGCGAAGAAGTTTGCGCAGAGATGTGCAATGTATCGTGCACACTGCGCATTCACGGCCGCAGTGTGGCCTATCTGACCCCACAATGACTTCCAATAACTCCTGGTGACCTCCTGATGACCCCTGGTGACCTCTGCCGCACAGGTTCGACGCCCGCGGCCGTCCCAGCGAGCGGGGCCGGCACCTGACCGACGCGCCGTCGGAGGGGGGTCGGGTGCAGCTCTCCTCGTCGCCGTGGGGTCTGAGGGTGTCGGCGCTCCGGGAGCGGGACAGCGGCCTGTACGTGTGCCGCGCAGAGTTCAGCGCCAGCTCCACTCGCACCAGTGTCACCCGGCTGGAGGTCATAGGTGAGAGAGCAGCAGCGTCACCCGGCTGGAGGTCATAGGTGAGCACTGAGCGAGCAACAGCACCGTCCACGGAAGAACGGGACAGCAAAGGTGCAGGTGTGAGCATTTCAGGATACTGCTGTAAGATGTGTAAGAACTTTTCAATTCAAAAGAGGCTGGAACATTATCCCCCAGCTAGCATGCTGAAATATCTAGTCTGCGCTTTGAACTTTGATTTTGTTACGCCTTGTATCACCATGTATCACAGTCTGCATGTATAGGAGGATGGAGGTCAGGGCCAGCGGCACCTCTGCCCTTCCCGAAACCTCCGCCTCGTCGTGGCACCTCTGCCCCTGGCCGGCACCTCCCTCCGACCTTCCTGACACCTCGATTATACCGCGGCACCTCCTCTGCCCCTACCGCGGCACCTCCATTCCACCGTGGCACCTCCGCCGTCCCGCCGCGGCCCACCTATCGATCAGCGGCCGTTAGCTCGCAGCCCTCCGCTGAGGTTTGCCGCCGCTCGCCGGCTTCCCGCCCTCGTTAGTGAGCCGACCTCCCGTCTGTTTTGGCTTACGTTTAACAAAACACATTTGTGTACGTAGCGTTAAAATGGCGTGAGCTCGACGGCCACTTCCCACTTCTAACATAATGGGAACTGTTTACTTTGAGCGATATAAATGCAAGAAAACAGGATATCAAGCTTCGTGGATCGAATCTGGGATCAGTCCTAAAGCTGAAAATGTAATCACAATGCTAGTATTTTTAATGATGTTGTTAAGGTGACGTAGCAAGCGAGGTGAAAAAAGAACGCCAGGTGCTGCTCAAAAGGGTCAAATCAGTAAAACGACTACACGTATACAGTGTCGATACTGTGTACGTGCGGTGTACGTGTGACAGCTGGACCGGTGCGATGACATGACGGTCATCTACAGGGTGCATTAGCTGCTGTACAAAAATAAAACATGGAAGAGAAAATGGAACATACCAATCGAAGCGTGTTTTTAAAAGAAAACATCAATATAAAGGCATCTAAAGGCGTAAGACACCGATCCGATATGTGAACTGGAAAGACGTGTTAACTGTTTAACTTTATCCAGGCTGTGCTAGACGATATTGCACTTTACAGGAAGTAGAGGTGAAAGTCACTTTGATGGCTTGTTAATTCGTGTTCTGTAGTCTGCACGTACTTAGTTTTCGAAGGTTTTCAAATTATTTCACTAATCATTTTAATTAGCCTCTGAGCGAGCTCATCCATGCTCATCACATCACTTGTCATCTGTCACTCCACTGTATGTATCACCCTTCTTTCCTGTATCCACCCACCGTCCTCTGCTGCCCCCCCCCCCATACCGTCCTGTATGACCCCACCGGCACCGTCCCGTATCACCTGACCGTCCTCTGCTGCCCCCTCCCCCCATACCGTCCTGTATGACCCCACCGTCTTGAATAGCCCCTCTTGTCCTGTGTCACCTCATTCGTCCTGTGTCAACTCGACACGGCAGTCGCCGACAATGGCACCCAGCAGGCATCGATCGGCCTGTCGCACGTCCATAGCCTTCTTAGGAAAAATGCCGCCAGCAGCGGACACTGATTCGCTTTGAAGTTTCCGGGGCTTACGTTGAACAGCGAATGTATTGGCTGCAATTATGCCTGCCTACAGTTTCTCTGTTTCTCTATGGTAACTTTTGATTCTTCAAACCATCGAAGAATAGATAGCTTACCTCACCTAAAACAGACGCAAGTACCTATTTTAAATGCACAAAAGCTGGCGTATTGAGGTAATGGGTACCTACATAAGAGCAGGGGTGTCATTCATAGATCTTCATCAATCCAACAGTAGGTATTTCACAATATTTAGAATTCGTAAAAATTGGTACTGCATAATTTACATGTATGAAACGGACGTGATCAGTATATAAACAGCTGCCCTCTCCTACCCCTCCAACTCCCTATCCGACCCTCCAGTTGCCCTGCAATCCCTCCAGCTTAATTTCCCGTCGTCCTTTCAGCTGCGGGCCTGTAGCCCTAAGTCGCTCGGCGCCATCAATCGCTACATATATTGGGCTGACCGCTATATTTCATAGTCGACCAGGCCCGTCTCAGTCGACTTCAGCGGCACGTGGCTCAGTCCGCGCGTGGCGGCGGCACAGACCGTGTCGACCTAACCCAGGGGGCGTGTCGGCGGCTTAAGGAGTGTCGGTATATCACAGGCGGTGGCATGGGGCCTTGTCGGTATCACGGGGACCTTTTCGGTATCACGGGGATGTGTCGGTATCACGAGGTGGTGTTATTACCATGGAGGTATGCCAGTGTCATGTGACTTTGTCGGTATCACGTAGCTTTGTGCATATCTAAGGGACCGTGTCGGCATAATGTGACTTTGTCAGTATCACAGGGCTGTGCCGGTATCACGGGACCGTGTCGGTATCACAGGGGCCGTGCCACCATCATGTCTCAAGTCGTTGTGGAGCTTGGAGACCGGTCACACGAGCTCTGATCGAATGGATTGGAATGGCCAGAGCAGTGCTTTGTGTTACAATGAGCTTACACTGTGCCGATGGTGCCATTTGATTGATAGTTATCGTTTCATTATGCGACGTAATGGGCTTTTATTAGTAATTGTTATATTAGTGTATGCCTGTATGCACTTCCAAGGTTAAATTTTGCTACGAGACCTGCGCAGTATACGGTTATGTATGCTAGCAGCGGACGCCTGCGAATGCCTGTAATTGTAGTGCCACTGCCTACTTGTGTCAGGTCAATTGCCCACTAAATGAACAACTTAGCCAGTAAACTGTATATGACTATTCTGGACCTATAAGATGTCTCCTATCGTTACATGGAATGCTAGAAACGTGAAATGTCGGAGTAATTATATGTCTTGATAATGACACGGTTTTAGTTTTATGGCGCTGCTCCGAAGTTCCAGTTGTTGTCATAACATCGAAGATGCACATTCCGCTCGGTTTTCCGAGCATACTTGGGAGACTGTCCGCCCTTGTGACCGACCAGTGACAGTCGGTGACCGGTGGCGGTACTCGGTTTTCAGTGCCTCCCGGGGAGCCGGTGATCTTTGACGACCGGCGGCGGGCAGTCGTGAACCGGACGGCGCCCGTTCCCGAGGGACAGCCGCTCTTCCTCACGTGCGAGGTCTCCGGAGGTGAGGATATTCTGGCGCCGACCGGACGCCGGAGTCTAGACGGTCCCCCACTCCTCTCTGCAGGGTCCCACATACTGCCTCTAATCTCAGCCCACCGCATGTTCGGTATCTCTACTCTATACATAGGCACGGCAGGTTATGGAGGACATCTACCTATAGTTTGATTTTTTATTTTAAGAGTTTGCACTGGTGGGGTACAGTGGGGCTTGTGCCTGGCCTTATCTACCGCTAAACCAACGTAAAGCCAATGAATAAATATGGATGTTTATTCATACGCAGCGGCGCCGGGGCACGGGGATTTGGGTTCGTTGCAGGGTTGGATTTAAAGTCTCTCAATAGATTCTGGCCGACGCCCTTTGACCTATGCAACCTCGCAGCAAAGTTCGGCTTGGTCGGACAAGCATCGGCTGAGTCTCGATCTTATGTTAACCAGCCCCACCCTAACTTTTTACCGACGCTCGTGAATGGGCGCTGTGCCGGCGGTGGCCGGTCGCGCCGAGTGCAGTGCGCTGACCACTCGGTGTGCTGTGTTTCACAGGCCATCCGCCGCCTGAGCTGACGTGGACGCTGGACGGCCGCCGGCTGGAGGGCGGCCGTCGCTCCGTGTCCGGCTCCGGGGCGGTACAGGCCGAGCTGGCGCTGCCGGCCGTCCGGCGCCACCAGCAGGGCGCCGAGCTGCGCTGCACGGCCGCCAACACCAACCTGACCGGAGCACCGTGGACGGCCGTGCGCCTGGAGCTGCTGCTGGCGCCGCTGACCGTGCAGCTGACCGGCCTGCCGGCGGCTGCCAGCGCCGGCAGCACGCACCAGCCGAGCTGCCGGGCGGCGGGTGCCCGACCGGCAGCGCACATCAGCTGGACGCTGGACGGCGCGCCCGTCACCTCCGGCACCGTGCAGAAGGTGAGGAGATACTGCAACTTGTCACACCGTGCACTATTGGGAGGACACCCGAGTACCCGACCCTCGATGTCAGGGTCGGTTGCCCTCCCCTGTCACATGCCATATTGCTGTACGTATGTGTCTTTATCCTGTCGCGTTACCACGCCGGAGTTAAAAAGAGCGGATCTTTTTTTGTGGAAATCTATATGTTGATGGTTGGCTTTGCGATTGGTCGGCTTTTGCCGCTCTCGGCGACAGGTTTCACAGCCTGCGGGCCCCTGGTCGAGCCGAAATCTCGGTGACAGACACGAGTGTCAGCGTTTGCGGCTGAACAGAACCCTCCATTTGTCACGGAGCATTGCATGAAGACTAAGTAGTTCATCGTTGCTCTATAGGTATATACCCTGAGTTCACATCTGGCGATCTTCGGCAGGTCTCTTCTGACGGGAACGTGACGACCAGTTCCCTGACGCTGACGGTGCCCCGAACCAGCGAGCCGCTGCGACTCAGCTGCAGCGCGTGGAACCCGCAGCTGCCCCACAGCGAGCCCATCTCTGACTCCAGACAGCTGGCCGTCCACTGTGAGTGCTGTGAGATAGCTGTGAGATGACGGTTAGTTTTGTGAGACTCCTGTGAGTTCACCATGCATACTGTGAGACGGCTGGTCATCCATTTGGCCAGAATATGTAGCGAGTCAGACGGCTGATCGTCTACTGCTATACATAGTATGCGACCCTGGACGACTATAAAAGACGACCCTGGACGACCCTATTCGACTTCCTAGTCGTCCGCTGTGCATAAATACCGATTTCAGGTAGCTGCCGATTCACTGAAGTGCCAACACTAAGGTGAGCCTCAGTCAAATTTAAAGAAACAGTCAACCTACATATAGTTATGTGCGACACGACGCTTCCTAGCCTCGATATAAAGACTCCATGTTGTGGAACGACTCCTTGGGTAAGTGAATTGTTCAAAGAACTAGAGACATCTACAGACTACATACCCTTACTAATGGGCGTGTCACGTTTCAACTAGCGCGAGCAATGCCGTTTAATAGATCTTCATAAACCACTTCTGGGTTTCTCATTAGGAAATGGTTGGCTAAACCAGGGATGGATAAATAAATATGAATTAGAGTGGACCAGGAGTTGCCGAAGTAGGTGCTTACCTACCGACTTCCTTATTTTTCGAATGCTGTTCTATTTTGGAATATAATATAACTTCCTGAAAATGAGGTCTTGCGCACCAGTCATCCAGTTGCCTTATATTATAGCCATGGTCTGCTACTAATACCATAGGATATGTGGATAGCACGCCCCTTAGACTGCTTAAATTCTTCGAGGTTTTAGAAATTCAAGTGCTACTATATAGGAAGAAGGAAGAAGGGTGAAGGCTGTTTCCTCCTTACCAACTCATGAAAAACTCATGCAAACTTAGAAAATAGCATTGGTGCCAAAAACGAACTGCTATAAATGCAAATGAAATCCCTACTTAAAACTGTTTTTGACTTTACGACCTTTCAACATTTTAAGAAATTTGTGGTAAATATTCAATTTTAACTTACCTTTGCGGTATGAGAAGTTCCCACAGACTGAGCTCTGTAGTCTGTCCTTTCCGCTCGGAGAGAGCTCGGAATCAATCAGCGCTCTCGGCGGCCTCCTCCATCAGGGGGCGGGTGAGGGGGGGGGGGGGACGGAGAGGGGGGGGGGGGTCGGTCGGTGCCAGGTGGGAGGCGGCCCGCCGGCGGCGCCGTGACCGCGGCCGCCACATCAATCATTCAGGCGTCGGCCGGTCAAACATGCCCCGCCCCGCTGCCTGCCGTCACGTGGCCGCGCGCCGCACGACTGACGCCAACGTATATGTAGGTCCGATACAGGACGGCACCGAGGACAGCAACAATGCAGGATCCCTGCCGCTGAGTAGATACGATAGGCACGTTTTTATATTTATGGAGCGTGCGCGTGTGCGTGACATGCGGCTCGCGTTCCATTGAGGTCCACAAATAGATTCTGAACAACGATGGTACGGTAGGTCAGATATCTGATGTGGATTAGCGTTCATGTTTGTGACGTGGGTGTCGCATTTTTTGTTGTGCTGTGAATGCGTGCCCTTTAACCCTCGCCAGGCGAGGGCCTTTTCCAGAACACGGACGGCGAGGGGGGTACGATTCCCCCTTGGCGATTGGCTCCTATGGCACTTAGAAACACCAAATTTACAGGGTAGGTGGGCACATAGGAGACCTCACGGCTCACCCTCGAGAAAATTTGGTGACTCTAAGTCAATATTTAGATGGGTTTTGGAGGTATAAGTGCAAAAATCTCGCTAAAACATGTCAAAGTTTTTTTCGCCTCTAACTTTTTACCTAGTAAAAGAAGAGCACAAATAAAAGCACCAGTGAGCTCAGGACATCCGTGCGCATCGAATGCTATACTTTGTTTACAACTTGAGTGGGCTTAAATTTTTCTTAAAAATAAAGTGAACCTAAAGAAACAAATTAACCCGCGCACCGACGGGGGTCTGCGCCAACTTCGCACCGACGGGGGGGGGGGGCGGAGATCTCGAGAACGAAGCAAGATAGCGACAAGCGGTAAACGGCATCGGATACGCACGGTCAAGATCTACAATTTTTACAAAGGTCATTTCAGGTCAGGTCAAAGATGACGTCACAGGGGTCGAAAAAGTCAAAATGGCGGCGCTAGATATGGAGAGAGTTTTTCTCGAATAACTTTCGAATTAGTCAAGATAGGAACAAACTAAGGGCATCATCGTAATCCTCTCGTCAATCCGCATCGAATGATATATATGTTGACCTCGAAAGGTCAAGGTCAAAGGTTGACCTTAGGTCACGTGACCTCGAGGTCATCATGTATATCATTCGATGCGTCTTGACGAGCTGAACACAATGAGACCATCCGCGCGGCTGTATCTTGTTCCTGTACGGAGTTATTGGCAAAAAACCTTTGGTGACCTTTGATGACGTCACATGACCTTACAGCTGCCCAAGAGCAAACCTGACCTCAAGGCAGTGAAGGTTGATCGTATATGAAGTCATGCATGGTATATGGGGCCATTCCGACCCGTTTTAGTGGTAAAAACAGGGAGTTGATTTTTCCCCCATTGACTTATAATGGGGAGGTCGCGAAATTGACCTGACCTTAGGTCACCGATATCAAAATTCCGAGATAAACAAATTGTAGCTACTAATGACCTAATAACATCCTGCGACTTTCAAAGGCCTCCGACATCTACTGTAGCTCTGGCACGGTGACAAAGTTGCAAAAAAGTGACTTGAGGTTGGGTCATTCAAAGTGAGCTGGTGACCTGACCTTGAAAGGTAGGAGGTTCAAACTTGCACACCATGTGTAAAATTGATGAGGGAATAGTCATACCAAATTTCGCGGCGGTACGCGCCGCGGTTTTCCCGCTATTCGCGAAAAATCTCAGGGGGGGCGGATATCCGCCCCCCCCGTCGGTGCGCGGGTTAAGTTTAACTTAATCAAAAAACATCATATCGAATATCATTCGAACCGCCTGATCACAAGGAACACAACGACATCATTTTTGAAGCTCTAGCCTCATTGTGTGCCAAGTTATTAGCAAAAACGTAGTTTGACCCTAGTTGACCTAAATTGACCCGAACCTAGCGTTCTTGCAGCTTACAAACACCAAGTTGATGTAAATCCAGCTAGCACAACACAAAAGCAATAAGATAAAGCACAAATCTATTTTCTTTACATATTCGGGTAAATTTCCTTAAAAATTGTCATGACCTCTAGATGACCTCAGGTCAATCGAATTTGAAAGAAGGGGGTGCATATGATGGCACTCGGTGACCCAAGCATATTCTGTAAGTTTGAATGAAATCGATGAAGAACTCTAGTTTCCATGAACAAAATAGTGCATTTTTAGCGCCATTTTGACAATATACCGATTTTTGTGACCTTGTGACCTGGCGTCAGGTCTCTGGAATCTAAAACTCCCAGGTCACATGTCAAATAGATGCCCCATGTTGTGTCTGAAATTAGATAGCGCTACGTGAATAGCACCCACGCTATTAGCGAATAACTCTGGCATTCAGTTGCCGCTAAACTAGTCAAATTTTTCTGACCTTGTATCGGTTTTTGTGACCTGGTGACCTGACCTAAAGAGACTGGGACTTGAAATTTTCAGGATAGGTGCGAAAAGGCTGCCCCAGAGGGTATGCCAAATTTGGTGGCGCCACGCGCCGCCGTTTTTACGTTATTTGTGAAAAATCTAAGGGTGGTTGCATCAACCCTCCTTGCCGGGCGATAGTTTATATTGCCCATGCTATCTTTGTTTCTACATAGAGGCGAAGTAAGCCTCCTATATGTATTATTTTATATAATTCATTGCAGTTTTTCATGTTCTGCAATAAGAAAAATATTAAATCTTATATAAAACGAAAAGCTTTATTAGCTGCAACACTATGCCTGACCTAAACATGTTTATTGGTAAAGAGAAAATAAGTGCTAATCCATAGTTTATCCTTATCCTGCCTTGGATAATGACTACCTACAATTTTCCATCTGCAGTTTGTGATCCCTGCCTCGCTAACCACCAGCGTTTTAGGTGAAGGAAGGCTTTCAGAAACCGTTATTTATTTTATTGAAGCTGGAAGAAGAAGCCTGTCATGAAGTCGTGCAGCGTTGATGTTTTTGGATTTCTCGCCAGCTTTTCTTTAAACATCTCCATCTTCTACATATACTTTGGCTCATAAGCTGTGTACCAATAAGCGTTAACAACGTTCGATATAGGTCCGGTCAAAATAATCAAAATATTTTGTCTGTGTGAACTATGAAATGCTCATGAACCGCTATGCTGGTCGTAAAACCTAAAGAGAGGTGCTGCATAATTACTGATAATTTTTGTTCCATATGCACCAAATTTCTACCGTAATTTATATCTAACAAATTCTTACAATTTTTTTTTACCAAATTTCTATAAACATAGTCTTCGCATGTCACGGCAATACGCGGAAAAAAATACAACTTACTATGGTACTTACAGAGTTCACGGTAATACACAACCTCTTGTTTAAGGCTTCAGGCAATATGAGTTGCAATGCGGCCAATGGCGCGGTATAGTTGTTTCTCCTCTGATAATTTCGCTTCCAGCTACAGGGCTCGGGAAAGCCAACATCAATCTTGCGACGTAAACCCAGTTGTCGTTTGCTCTTTGAATCTGACTATGTCGCATTGGTTGTTTTTGTTTTGTTTTTGCTCAGCGTTTGTTTGTCTAGTTCGTTGCACAGAGATAAGCAATTTTCAGGGGCGCCGCCACGGATTTTTGACTGGGGGGGACGGACTGATCGACTGAAAACCCAAAAGTAGACATTCTTACCGTGACTTTTCGGATGCATTCAACGTTTAAAGCAAATATGCCACTTTTAACATAGGGTTTGAACTGAAGTAACAGTGTTGTAGCAGGTAGCTTGAGCTGAGACTAGAACAAATCAGGAGTTTTTATGGCCCAACGATCACCCTAGCCAAATATATCGGTATCGATTTTAGGTTTGAAGACTGAAGTCATTCCCATAGATTACACTTTGTCATTCTCTTACCGAGGAATCCATTCCCTTACGGAAAAATGCTAGCCAATCAGCATTCAGCTGGTCTGAACTACGTACTAGATGCTTGGTCAACGCGTAATCAGCTTCCGCTGCCATACCTATAGGTAAGTAGCCTCTACGAAGGATGATAAATAGTGATGTAAAAATAAATATAAAATCCTTTTGCAAATATTCATTATTTCCTGACCATCTAAAGTTTAAAAACTCATAGAACTGTGGCAAAACAACTGGTTTGAGGAAAGTAGTTTAGGCCTATAGGTATTTCCTTAAAGTAATGGCTATAGACCGCATTCCCACAGAGTACCTACCTATATACACGTCCGATTCAGTTTGACACGGCAAAGCCTCGTGTTCTATCACGGTATAATTGCTGATGTATGCCACTAATATGATCGATAATGCATATTGCATAGGTAATGCATATTGCATGCCCGCGTGGTGGAGGGGGCGTTGTATAGTCACAAATCTCTCTTTTTGGTTCGTGCACGAATCGGCGCGAAGCGCCGCGAAAATTGGCAAAAAAAAGAAACATTAGGCAAAACTGCTCCAAAATACGAATTTTGCAGCCCGTGTAACAAGCTTGATACCAGAAAACCTTAGGTCAGGAAAACCAAGTCAAGTAGTCAAGTCGCCTTGAAGTTTTGTGGTCCTGTCAACCATATAGCTTATTTCTTAGAAGCTGGAAATTTAGTGTAGCGTGACTGCAGAAGTGTGGGGTCGGAGCCGGAATCAGTCGGAGTTGACTGTTTTGGCCAGTTTTGGCCAGAGTCGGAGTTGAAGTCTTCGAAAAGGTTCGGATTTTGACTTCGAGGTCGGATTGGTGTAAACTGTAAAGTCATGTTCTTGGCTGGTTAGAAGAAATATATTAGGCCCGTGTTCGGCCAGTCGTGTTATACGACACACGTTGATCACGGTATCAAAAATCGGCAGTTCCGCGATGACAGGTCGGATAAGAGCTGGAGATTTTGTTGGCCGAGGTGGCAGGGGTTAGACCAATGCATGTAGGCCCACACCCCATATACTGAGTATCTAAACCTCCTGGACCCTCTCAGATTCGGCACCGGCCGTTCCATCTCTTCCATCCTCAGGACAGTCAAATCCTTCTCCTCCACGCCGCAACCCCCTGCTCCGGGCTGGACGGGCAACTCTATCCCATGCGGGAATGGCTCCACTGGAGCCATAGTCCTTTGCCGGGTGCAGTGAGTGCCAGTGGGCTGGGCTGCTTGTTCAATTGGTCGGGTTCATCCCAAGTGGCTCACTGGGGTGGCTGCCCCGACCAATGTCTCCCACTAATTCTTTCATACTTGCGGCTCTGAAATGGTCTCATTGGACCGAAGGGCCTAATCAAATTTCGAGTAGGATAACAACCAGTAAAACGCCTTTTGGGGCGACCAACGGAGCGAGCGAGAGGGTGGGGTGGGCCTTGCACGTGCGAAATTGCGAGGGGATACCTACAACTAACTTGTGCACTGCACTCTTCTAACCGGTCCCTAACGATGGATATGCATTGCCTAGTGGGTATACCTACCTACATGCCAACTTTCAGCGCAATCGACCCAGTAGTTGCCGAGATATTGAAATTGTTACAAAACTGACACCTCTTCGTTTTTCACGTGGCACGTGCATATGGGGTCACTCACATGCATCGGGAATAGTCCGATGCTCGTTAGAAGGAATGAATCTAGTGCTACCCTACAAAAAATTACCGCATGTAAATCGGTCAAGTGGTTGCTGAGACCACTTGACCGGTCACGCCTAGCAAAAGCGTGACCACGGCATACTCAGAAATTTCCGTTAACCTACGAAAGACTACGCTCGCTTCGCTCGCTCCGTAATGAATTTGGGGGGGGACGTCCCCCTTCCATTCTGAGAGTGGGGGGGACGCGTCCCCCCCGTCCCCCCCGGTGGCGGCGCCCATGGCAATTTTAAATATTTCTTTCATATATGGTTGCTCTTTTGTCACTGATGAGGAGCTGTCACTGATGAGGCAATGAGCCTCCGTCTGGGAGAAGGCTATCACAGGGGTGGAGATCTCTGAATGAACCGGATCCGTCTCCTCTTTTTCTGAGAGCTCACAGGTCCCGACGTTGGACTCATTGGAGAGTGCCTTTCCTTCTGCAGATGGATCCGGGTGTGTGTCATTTGCTGCGCCGGCCCAGTCTATAGTCTATGATGTAGCCTATAGTTGCCGGGTTGGCAGTACTGCCGATACGGTTTTGAGTCCCGTCGCGGAAGCAGCGCATGAAAAGAACTGTCAGCGATTCGGAGACGTCTTTGACGGTGCTGATAGGCAGAGACAGCTACGCTGCATTCAATGGCCATCTCGGCGAAAGCCTATACCTAAGTCTGAACGGAAACGAGGCTTATGACAAGCATGACGGCTGTGACTGCCTCAGTAATAGAGTCACAGATAACTAGCGGCGTTCGTTTCAATGGCTGGAATTTCGTCTGCAGCTACCAAAGACGGTGAATACCCTCCGAAACTCAGACAGGCATTTTGATGTTTCAATAAGGAGTAGAGCTGACGGGAAATGTCATTTGCTGGCCAGGGATGTTGAAATAGGCAATTGTATTGATACATCATATCCGATAGCCTCCCGATCGGTGATAGTTACCCAGATCAGCTCGCTCAGTCAGGTCAGATCAGCCCGCCGCTGACTCAGCCTAGGCCGCTGCTCAGTGTTCTAATGACCTTTGACCCAGTTCAGTTCACAAATGATCTTGGTTGGCTCAGTCCACTTAGGCTTTTGGACCCGGCTCAGTCCACTAACGACTTTTGACCCGTCTCAATTCACTAACGACCTTTGACCCGGCTCAGTCCACAAATGACCTTTGACCCGCTCAGTCCACAAATGACCTTTGACCCGGCTCAGTCCACTAACGACCTTTGACCCGGCTCTGCAGCTCGCTGCTGCCGGCCGATACGGGGGCCTGCATGAAGGCGCGATCACCACCGGCCATCCGTCCTGCTGAGCGCCGATCAATGGCAGCACTCTCTGCACCACCGTCGTCGTGGCTGCTTCAGACACAGACTGGGGACATGATACTGTAGCAATCGGAACGCTTGGTTCTCGGAATGTCTCCTGCCGCGCTACTTGATCCCTAAATCCTGAAATAATTACCGATACGTGAACAAAGCAAATGCACACTACAAACGAAGTTGCGGTCGCTGCTCAAATACAAATTACGTTTGAAGTTCGCTTTTGCTTTGTTTGGATGTTATGGCTCATCGGACTTCAACGATGCAAATAAACGCCTATGCCCTATATAATGAAATACCTATTGAATAATGAATATAATAATATTTATCATCTTAAACAGATCCGTTGAAAAGAGTTGAAATCTTTCAGTATTGGATATCCCTCAGTACAATTGTAGGTATCTCATGTATCGCATCCACTAATGTGTACCTACTACAAATAAGTCAACGCTATAATACAATCTCTCCAGCGTAGGCGACTGGCACCTCAATCTCGGACTGACTACATCTTATTCCATTGGATAGCATGGTCGGGCCGCATCTCGTTCTACTGTATACGTTGTGTGAGTGGGGTACATCTCATTCTACTGGAATGGAGCGGGATGTGGGTGGGCTCCATCTATTGTTCCGAGGTGGTGAGGGTGTGGTGCATCTCATTTTACTGGATAGTGCCGGGTTTCTGCACTCAATTCTACCGAGATAGCGTGGGTGAGCTGCAACATACTCCTACGGGACCTCCTATGGGATCAATGGGATAATGGGGACCGGCGGCTGCCGACCAGATCATAGAAACACTGTCCGGGTCTTGTCGTTAGGACCGGGCCCGCTGCATTCACGGTCCGCTCCGACCAGACACAAAAACTGCGGCCGGTAGCCGGTGTAGCCTCGGTGATGGATGGTCGGCGGTGGAGGTCCGAGGCTGTCAGCTACTCTGTCGTCACCCCTCGGAGCCGCTGACGCCGCTCAGTGTGACACTAGCATCCCTGTGAGTCCCTAACATCGTTCATTGTGTCACCTGCCCCCTCACAGCATCGGCCCCTTGGAGCCCCCTAAACAAGCCCCCTTCCGTCCCACTCGGATCCTTTAGCGCACTGATCTAGGCCACCGTGCTGCCCGCCATCTCGAAGCCCGCTGACCCAGGTTGCCGTGTTCCAGACGCGCCAGTGGTCTCACTGCAGCTCGGCCGCAGTCTCGACCCAAATGTCATCAAGGAGGGCAATGACGTCTACTTCGAGTGTGACGTCGAGGCTAACCCATCTCCGGGGCACATCAGCTGGTTCCATCAAGTAAGCAAATGCCGGGACGCCAAAGTCCCGCCCGAGTGCATGCTATAACGCCCAGGCCCCAGTGCCCTTCTATAATAAATATACAGTTACACGAATATGGTTCGTGAATTTCACTTTTAGAATTTAGTGTGCTGAATCAGGAGAGCGGCGACACCATTGTTCACAAAATTCCCCTTTTTCACATCGACTGTTCCCCTTATTCCGTTCCAAACGGTTTCGTGATTTTCGACTGATTTGCTGATTTTAAGTCTCACCATACGTCAGTGAAATGTGGTTGCATGTTACGAAGCGCCTGGAACCGACCATGATGGGTCCCATTGAGGATGCGCTGGCAATCAGGGGCCCGCACGCTGACCGTTCATTCGGTGACCCTGCAGCTTGTGACCTATAGCGGAGGGGCACATGGCGTGAGGGCTGCTAACGTTCCGTGACTGATGAGAAGGTCAGCTCGGCTACCTGACGCAACTTTGGGTGAATTCTGAGTGAAAATGTCCACGGGGAAGCAGTGATTTGTATTGTATGTCAATCGCACACCAAATTGTTGACATTCTTATGCCACACCGATATCAAATTGTTAGCTATTTGGCTATTAGAGCCCAAGTTTTTATATTGCTCTTTTTATAAATCCTCCTTCGTCTATATGAGGTGTTCTGAATTCGATGCATTGGCCTCACACTCACTCACCATTTCTCTAGCTAGCTCGGTTTAATTATTTCCATAGTTAAGTTGCTGTTTGGTTTAGTTTGGGTTCCCCAATTTCCTGAATTGACATCACTAACCACCTAGCTCGGCCGCCTGTCGCTGGCTATTGGAGCAGCGCTAACATTCTTCCCACCGGCACACCGGACCAATTCAATAGAGCTATTCGGTGAATGTCGGCCCGCGCGCGTATGTAGTCGATCGTCAGTTTCACTGGGGTAACAGACGTGCTAAAAGTCCCAGAGCTAGTCCATTTTACCAAATGACTGAGACACTTCGATATTAACTGCATTCCGCATGGATGTGGAATTCGTTAGTAATGATTAAAGCCATTCGTGCGTGAATAATTATACTATATAAATAAATATAGCCAGATGGCATACAGAGTGCGGCGAATGGATTGCTATCGCGGAAGCATGTTAACTGGGTTATTAATACGTTGGTTATTATTTCCGCCCGTTTGTAGTTTATACATTACGTCCCTGGATGCTATGCTGATGACAGCCGAATTATGCTCCGCACCTTCCTGTCCCGCTGATAAGATTGGCTCAAATCGTTTGATGGAGAACGTCAGTGGCGGCTGGCAAAGGCAATTACGTTGCTAATTGGGTATATTATTTCCCGTGTGTACTGCTGGAGCTCGGTTTTTACGTCTTTTTAGTGTTATGTTTCGTCCAACTGGCTGAATGGGTGGAAGTGATTACGTTACGTGTATTGACGTAAGCCTCATTGTGAGTCGTGAGACACTGTAACTTTATAATCACATAAAGAAGGGAAGTAAGTATGTAGGAGGTATGGCTTCGACACTACAGCTTGACTACGACGACCGGTTCCAGTGTTTTGCACAGTGTGGATATTTAATTATTTTGCTGATCTAGGTCATTTCGGTCTTATATAGATTAGTTCCGGGCCGTAGGATGAGATAGCGGAGGCATTTGCCTGGGTCGAGCACCAGGCGGTGTAATGCTGCAGCTGAGCCCGTGTCCCGTGAGACCGGCACGTCACGGTGAGACACAACACCTCGCCATGTACACAGTCACCCGGGAGGAGTATATGCTGCCCTTGCCTGGGCCCTGGTTGAGGCGACTGCTGCAGTGTGAAACACGGGAGAGTGATAAGGGATAAGAACGCGCTGGCTGAAGACTGCAGCAGCTGGATGAGTTGGAGATTAGTTGTTTTTTATTTCGTTCTCCTGCCGCTGATGGGTGACTTAGACCGTTCCGTTCCGTTCTGTTACGTTACGTTACGTTCGACTGGTTACGTGTAAGTCGGATATGCATAGCCTGGATGGATAGCGGATAGACTGACTGCCGAAATGGTCCGCTCAATGGCAACAGAGTGTGAGGGCGGCCCGATACACACACACTGACTGATGACAGAAAAAGCCGAGTGACTGAGCGATCCCGCTCGCCGGAACCGGAGACAGAATCTTTTGTGTGGGTCGGAACCATGCCTCAGCGCATATCAGTTGTTCCCAATGCAGCCAAGTGAGGCGATAGTGGCCTCGCATTGGGTGACTGATGGTGGTAACATCTGTCTAGGCGTTAGCCAATGGCCGATAAACATGCCGTCTGCAGGGAACGGGCCGTGCCGTCTCGCGGACGATAAGTTGGCCGAGGGAAAGAATGGCATTGGCAGCCGGGAACTGACACTATCCGTCACCCGCAGCGTTCTCGGCAGCGGTACATATCAATTTGGTACGGAGGAACGAATGTCGCATGGATAATTGATTTGGGTATGAACGTGCCTCGTTTTCCATTCTCCCGAGGAAAGATGGAAAAGGATTTCTCTGATGAGATGACCGGCGCGATTATGAAGGTCCGGTTCAAGGCGCATCGGTTCTCTCTTCTTTCCGAATCCTATAAACGGCTCTGGAATGTGTCCTGCCGTAATGCGGTGTGAGTGGTCATGTTGAAGAACAGACGAACTAAGCTCAGGCCGGACTAATCAGCACTTGCCGTCCCATATGAGTGCACAATGTAAAGCCCCCGCGAATGTCGGTGACAGTGACGGTAATGAGGCTTACGTAACTGCACTGTGTAGTCAGATAGCATTGCAGCGGAGCCGACTTTGTGCTTTCCCGTTCAGAGCAGCGCATCAGGTTTCTCCCATAACTAGCCTAACGACCATAACTGGGGGTTAGGTTTCTCCTATTCAGGGCAGCGCATTGAGCGTTGACGGGTAAGGGGTATTCACTCATACAAGATATTGGATGATGTGTAACCGGCCGGATGCGTCTGTTGAAACTATTCTTGCCGGTGTTGCTAGAAGCAGGCATGCAATATCACCGTATACCTGTAGCTTACCTAGCTTTGTGACCAATTGATAATGCCCGTGATTTATTCCTTTTTTGAGATAAGGACAGCACTAAAGGTAAACGTTCCCCGCTCCCATGCATGCTTGCATTGTAAAGTTTTATAACGATATTTGTGCCATGGATGGGAGCAGTACATAGTAAATCTGATAGTATACTGGGTGCCCGGTGTAGTGGTCAGATCCACCCCTGTCCGCCGGCACGGCGTCTCTCCCGGCTCGCCCGGCACCTGTGGCGCTGCAGTGATCTCCCCGATCGGCCTGCCAGTGCCGGCGGGCCGACTGCCGACTGCGCAGCGATGCTTGCCTCCGATACCGCCTCCCTCCGCTCGGTCCCAGCCGCCAATCAATGCGCCATTTGTTACGGCGCCACTGGGCGCAGCACTCGCAGAGCGAGACGGGAGCACCTGTACGAGTCGGCAGAGCGCTGCTAAATTCCGACAACTGCTCAGCGCGACAATTGCTCGGCACACTGTATTCCGGCAACAGTGAGGGACTCAACATCTCGGCAACCGCGGGGGACACTATGCTCGTAACCATCCCGGTAACCGCACGGGACACTATAACCATCCTGGCAACGGCTCGAGACTCTGCCAATGAACTGCATGGAACTGTAAAACCCCGGCACCCGCGAGGAACACTGCACCTTCCCGGCGGCAAGGGGGACATTGCTACCCAACAGCCACCTGTACTGGTACCAGCCAAGTGGTTCTTTACGATAGCTGACAGCAGCACACCACATGCTGTAATGTTTTACTAAGTTTGGCCGTCAATCATGGGATAGAAATTGACACCAGTGTCATTCCAAATAATGTCCCGACAGGGTGAAAATGTGGTTGAATCAAGCATATTCTTTATGCGGAAAACACCAGAGTTTATATAACCAGGCAACTTATCCTCGTATGTATCAGAGACGGATGATGTAGCGTTGCTTGTTTACTCTCTTCCTGGTCAGTCTTCCTTGTTTTTGGTCTAAGTCTTAGTCCTCCCTCCCAACCGTGCTAGCAAATGAAGTGCACTATTTGAAGTATTTATATGTAGTCGTCTTTTATTCACTGTGTCCACGGCGCTGTCGATAGCCGTAGCCCATAGCTGGGGTAACAGCGAGGGCACAGCGCGGTGACATCTCCGGTCGGCCGGCTCGGTGCTGGGTCGATACGATTCGCTGTCCGACATTACCGGTATGCCAATACCCTGGTGACCGTCTGACCAGTCCCGTATCACTGTAGGAAATATTGATACCCTGGTGACCGCTGACTGGCCCCATAGGCCGTATTCACTGTAGTGATAATGTCCTGGTGACCCTGGTCGGTCCCGTATCACTGCAGCACTAATGTCCTGGTACTTACACTCTGTGATACAGTGATAAGTCTCGTATCAGTGTAGTATTTATGCCATATTGACCGAGACCAGTCCCGTATCACTGTAGTATGTGTGTACTAGTCTACTACCCCAGTTTTGGTAAGCTGTGGTCGATCTCGTATCACCGCCGGTCCTGATACCCTGTGACCGCTCCCTGCAGGATCGCCGTCTCCAGCCGGGTCAGAGGGACGGCGGCGTCATCGTGCACGAGCGCAGTCTGGTACTGCCCAATGTCTCCATGGACCAATCGGGGGAGTACAGCTGTGAGGCGACCAACGCTGAGGGCAGCGCGCGCAGCGCACCCGTCCGACTGCGCGTGCTCTGTGAGTATAGAGCGAATCACGATACGGATATGTCACGATTAGCCGAGTGGTTTGTGGAATGCCGATGAGATGAATGAAGATGTTAAGAGCGCTATTAAAGCAATTACCAACGGTAACTGGTGCATTTTCATGTGAACTTCTACTTGTATTAGGTTTATGTAAACAAAACTTTGTTTAAAGTTTAAACAAAACTTTACCTATGCAACTTTATTGGCCTTGAAACACCGAAGAGGGACCAGTTGAGCGCGAAAGATGGGTAGACAAGTGTCTACCCATCTGACTACCTCTGACCTGCCGTGTGTCACGTCGACAGACGCGCCGCGCTGCCAGCGTCCCAGTAGGCGGATCTACTTCCTCCCTGGCCGTCAGGTGGAAATCACCTGCCAGGTCACAGCCCAGCCTCTCAAACTGCGCTTCAAGTGGTTCATCAACCGCTCCACCGCCGCCAGAGAGACCATAGAGCCGAGCAGGTGCGTTATAAGAGCCATATAGTTAGGCTAGACCAGGTTGGCAACAGGGACATCCAGGCCCAGCAGATGGGTAGCAGAAACCTGGGCGTAACAGCGGACCGGTTTTGAAGTTAATGTACAGTGAATTATAACATTTTATTATGGAAAATTTGCTTGAGATGACCTCCAATCAGTGCGTCAAGATAGGTAAAAACGGCAATAACATCGTTCGGTATTAACGGCTGGTGAAAGATGTAGGTTAAAGGCATCACTCGCTTGCTAATTAAGAAAAAATAGTTTCACGTTAAAAAAGTGATGCGACTGCATTTGATTGTGTCCATCTGCGTGTGACAGGTACACCAGCTCGGGTGGCAGCAGCGTACTCCGGTTCACCCTGGGGTCGCCAGAGTATGCAGTGATCGGGTGCACCAGCAGCAACGCCGTCGGACTGCAGAGACGACCGTGTCTCTTCCAGATGCTCCCAGCCAGTCAGTGTCTCTTAGGCCAAACATCGAAAACACTTCCTGATTCATCGTAAATGCATGCCTATTGTGCGACAAGGAATGTGCTGGCGTGGCTCGCCAAAGATGTCTATGTGAAATGCTCCAAATAACACAACCAGTCACTTTATCCTATTGTCCGTGAAAAATAATGCGAAGTTCAATGGCGAGCTCTCGCGCGCTTCAGGCATAAAAGCTTCTTTCTAATGGTGAAATCGACGTCTTGCATAGTTCGGTTGTCTGTAAATCTTTCCAATGAATGCCAAGTAGATCATTGCGAAGTTTCTTAAGTCCCTTTAAATACCACACTTCCCAGCAGAACACTTGTCGGACTCGTTCCGCAGAGTAGAAATGTTCTTTCTTCAGACGTTTGACGGTTGATTTGTAAAAGGTTTCAAAGTGGCGCTGAACTTGAGATGAGGCACAGTGGTAGTTACCCAACTTACAACAAGACAACTTTTCGAGCCTTTCATGCCTAACAAAGTGTCTGTATCGAAATTCAACTTGTGTCAATCTCGGTTTACTCTAGTGCTGTTAAGTCGTCCGCTGTCAAATTGTTTCTCCATTATTTCCTCACCTTGTGAACTGAGTGCGGCATTCGATCCATTGTGGTTGACTCATGCCGGGCGCCCTTTGTGGCATATCTGTGAGAATCTTGGCGTAAGAATCTTGGCATGGCCGACACGCACTATTTTTAGGCCATGCCGTTTATATCCCTTAATTTCATTGTGCTCTCGGTCTTTATAGCCTTTCAAGTCTCATTTCCATCAAATGGCATGCTCTTTCGCTAGTTCTAAAGACAAAGCATAACATTGCAAGATTATCTGTTGCTAAGAGGCTAACAGTGCCGGCTTGTGACTACCAGAAACACCCGTTTAGACGGTTTTAAACTCAAAGATGTTTTCTTTTATCTAGCTGTGAATACCGCCCACCCTCTATTGCCATCAGGCCACTGTCGTTATTAATTACGTGTTGTATCGCCCGCTGTCCAGGCCTGCCGGAGCGGCTGCGTCAGTGTGAGGTGCACAACCAGACGGTCACCTCGTTCGAGATCGGCTGCCAGGAGGGCTCCGACGGCGGACTTCAGCAGAGGTTCGCGCTGGTCGTCTGGCAGGATCAGGACAGACAGGTGGGTCGGACAGCATCTCTTCACACACTGTATAAGTACCTACGCTGTATAAGTCTCCTGGTCCTCTGCAGGACCAGAACAGGGAAGTGGGCCGAACACCTTCTCCCCATTGTTCGGTGTCCTGGTTCTTAGGCAATTTTAGAAATGACGAGTGGGCCGTATACCTCTCAGCAATTCTTCAGCTCAGGCGAACAATTATGCGAACTCATCAATGCCCTGAATGGAAAGCAGAGCTTCATTTGCGGATATTGCTAAGCCTGAAATCTCGTTTCCAACGTACCCTCACAATACTGCTGCTAAGGCTGCCGCTGCTGGCGACCATCATCAGAAACTGCTTACTGCCGACTGGTGATATCAGAGACGCTGATGTTGGCGCAGTAGAGACTGGTGACACGACAGCTAAGTCAGGAGCTGATGTGAAGTGGTCCCTCTGTCTCCACAGCTGGTCCGGAACGTCAGCTCGAGCACGCCGTACTTCCGTGTGACGGAGCTGTCTGCCGGCACCAACTTCACCGCCGAGCTGTACGCCGTAAACGGCAAGGGCCGCGGTCGGGTTACCCGACTGCAGGTGCCCACACTGGAGCTGACGGCAGACAGAGTCGGTGAGTTGACACGGAGGGAGTCAGAGTCTTCAGGGACAACGACCGTGGGGGCTTGATAGTAGAGAGGATGAGTGTCAGGGAGAGCGGGACGATGAGACAGGTTGGGTGCTTTGTGACACATCCGTCTTTAATATTCATGATTATTTCGCTCCCTCGGACATTTTCTCTCGTGCTTTGAGCTGCACGATTATCGGTAACAGGTGAAGGAAGTCCGTTGGGACAAATTCTCTGGGAGTAGCAGTTGACCCCCAGCTCGATGGGTGGTCCCTCGGGACGGGCTGAGCCGCGGGGTGCGTCAATTGATGGTCTTGTTGGTTCTCACGTCTCATATTTCCCCTTATGTTATTATTTTGTGACCCTTAAATGGTCCTTTTAGTCTGAATGATTGCAATAGACAAAGCAATAACAAAGTTATAACCTATAGAATAACGTCCTGGATTGTGACGAAAGGCATGCGTCGGAAGTATTTGTGGGTGAGTCGGAACGTCAGAGTCTAGGATAGATCCAACTGTCGGGCTGGGGAGGGGGAGACAATGGCGACCGGTGACGGGGGTCGCGGCCGACGTCCCGATCTTCCCATTGCATGTCCGTATACGACGCCCCGTCGCGCTGCCAGACGACCCTCGGCCGGGTTATGGCCGAGTTATCGACACCGTAAAAGCTCGGAGCAGCCTGATATTTTCTGCCGCTCACCGGGCCACCCAGATGAGGAAATTGGCCCAGAGCGGCAACGCAGGCTCTGAGGTTGTACGCGCGGTGGGACAGGGGTCAGTGGTCGTGCACGGGTGGGTGACGGCCGGTACTGGTTTTATAGTATCAATCGTATCAATCTGGGTTAGAAGAGAAGGGTATGAACAGGACTGACTGGGACAGTACGGACTAAAGTTTAGTTACCTTAAATTGCCACAGCTTTGGTCATATGAACACATGGCTTCTGAGGGTGTATGTCAGTGTCTGTCAGTGTCTGACGATATATTTCAGTACTTAGTGTCTGTCTGTGCCCGAACCGAACTCGGCAGCATCTGACGTTATACATCTGTGTGTCTGTGCAGCCTTCAGCGTGGCTCCGGCGGCCGCTCCGGTGGCGGCTCTCCTCTCGGGCTCAATACTGGCCACCCTTCTTCTTCTCCTGCTGCTCGCTGGCGCGCTGGTCACCGTGAGGAGAAGAGCGGCCAGCGGCCGGCGTCACGCCGCCGCCCCCGTCACCACGCCGCCCGACAAACCTACCGAGAGTCACCAGCATATTACCGTCGGACCGGACATCGTCCCGGCAGGTCAGTCAGCTGTCGCTACTTTGGCGACTAGGGTGTTACTGTGGTCTTCCGCTTCAACAGCTTATCGCCGTCTTGGGTATGACAGGTATGCGCTCAATGTGGTGGAATTACCCACTGGCCGCTTTTGCGCTATGAATGGGCTGCCAGCCTCAATGACCGAATGTGTCGTTGAGTGATGTGTCGCTGTGACTGCTGTTTGGTTGTGCCCGGCGTGGTGTGTCGCTGATCGTTTATGACCAGTGTATCGCTGTGACCGGTGTGTCGCTGACCGGCGACTCGCTGTGACTGCTGTCTCGCTGCGTCCGGTCTCGCTGTTGCGCAGTGCGTCGCCGTGAATGGACTGACACTTTGACAGACCTAGATTTCTGCGAGGTAGTCCCTAGCGCTCTGGCCGCCGTGTCTCCGCCCAAGCGCACCGCTGGCGGTCCCCGCGGATTTCCAGCCAATCTGAGCCGCTGTCAGACGGAAAAATTGGCCACTGACTTCCGGTGGCCAGTCGATAAGCGGAGGCGCCTTGACAGACCGGCTGCGGGCGCACGGACAGATCGGCTGCGGGAGCACGGACAGATCAGCTGCGGGAGCATCGGTGCCGGCTGCGGACGCATTGTTTGGACAGTGCTTTGCCAGCTGCGCGCGGGCGCCCTAACATTGTGACAGCGCGACAGCGAGTCGACAGCCGTCAGTGGTTCCCCGACAGCCTGTCTTGGAGGTCTTGGCAGCGATGTGTCTAAACCGATCACCAATGGGCATTGTCGAACTCATTTCAGACTCAACCTACATACCTCAGTTTTCTTTTAGTTATTACTTACGACTTCTTGTTATCGAAAAACTGCCTTGCTTACATGTGACGCTAAGCATGGTAAGCTGTAGTGGTCAATTACGGAAAATCGGAATACCGATACCAAACCAAATACCAACCAATACCACGGGAAGATACCGAAACCAAACCAACTTGGGAAACTGAGGGAAATACCAACTTTTTACCGATTTCTTAGCCTCTTATATATTAGTGAGGGCTTATGATACCAACAAAATACCAAACACATGACGATTGAAATACCAAATACCAAGTTGGTATCGGTTTGGTATCGGCATACCAAAAAGTTGGTATCCGATTGACATCTCTAGTAAGCTGCGATGCATCCTTACCTGGTCAGCTATTCACACATAGAGCTCACCAGCTCACCAGTTGGTAATGTTTTTGGATTAGGCGAGACGACCGTCCTGTAGCCGCTCTTTCCAGTCATCGGTTGACTTATTATGTACGACTACGCCGGACAAACAGTCCTCGTTATCACATCCTCAAAATTGCTTCCACTACATTACCAGCCAAGTGCTTTATCAACTAGCAAGAAGCAAGAGCCTAGATCCATTTGTCTACATCGTCAGTTCGCGCTGCTGACGCCTTGACTTTTCACGTCTCACATCAAATCGCAAGAGCCATGATTTGAACGCAAATTTGTCTTGTCGTATTCAAATGTCGTCTCAGCCAGCGGCGGCTCGGACCGCTGCAGCTCGCATTTAAATGACATCTGGCGATGAGTGTCGTCGTCGGCCGGATATAGAGCTCAGCTCGTCTGTCCGTCTGTCTGTCGGTGGTCTGTGCTGGCGGTCAGTCGGCGCTCCCCGCGGGGGACTGCCGCCACACCGGTGTCCCAGGGGAGCTCCTGAGCGGCGAGCGGCGGCGCGGCGCGGCCGGCCGCCGGACGGGAGCTCAGCTGGTGTCAGAGATTGGCCGCCGCCGCTCGGAGCTCACCGGCTGCCCCAGAGAGCAGTGTGTATCGATTCAGCGGCCGTGTGACCGCCGGCATCGAGTCGGGCCGCCGTGTCGACCCGCGGCGGCGGGCGGGCGAACACCGGGCCTGTTCGCTCACAGACAGGACAGGGAACCTGCCTCCCGCTAACAGATAGGACGGCTGGATCCCACAGTCAGTTAGTGGGACAGGACAACGGCATTCCAGTCCGTACACAGACAGAACAACGAAATTCCACAGTCGGTTTATGTGACAGGACAACGGGATTTCACGGTCTGTTCACGAAACAGGACACTGGGACTAACCGTTCGTCCACTGGCAGGGCAGCTGACGGACGGTTTGCAAGACATGATGGGATCCATCGTTCATCCACAGAAATAGACAGTCGGACCCGTGATTTGTCCTCAGCACGAACACTGTGACCTCGAATAATTAGACAATGCTCTAGACATGCTTGGTTTCACGGACCGTGTAGCACACTGGCGTAATTTAGATGGACCAATGCATTGCCGTAGACTGACATGAATTAACGGACTAATTTAACGATCCATTTGGCTCACGTTAACGAACAACGGTCGTAAATGGGCGCGGTTTAGCAAACTAATGATGACGCGGGTGGCAGGCTTCAGACTGCTTTTTCAGCCCAGAGAAGTTATCATTACCGGTGGTTGAGGAATAGCTTCAAACGTCATGACTCACAAACATTTCTCCCCTCACACAATCAACGCTGGTGAAGCCGTGTAATTTTCCTTTTTTACCACATCACAGGACACAGAGTAGTAAAATAGTGTATTTAGCTACCATTAGATGGACATTGGACAGATGGTAAGCTTTTGTCGTGTTCCCTATACAATGCTGTCGTATCTCATCTGCATGTCACCACCAACTGACCGAAGCTGTCTCTCCGCAGATCGGGAGGTGACCGGCCGGCCGCTGACCGCCTCTCTGGTCGGCTCCTGTCTGCCTGACACGGACGTGGCGTCTCCATACTACAGGGTCAGTGCACCCCCGGCACGCACGTGCCACTTCGCGCAGTATTGAACAGTGGTCTCAGTCTCACCATCGGGGCTTCGTAGGAAGTGTAAAATTAAATTACGCCGCCGCTGCAAAATTGAGTACCGCCTGCCGGACAGAGCTGTCACAGAGTGAATAAATGTGAGCTAAAAGTTTTGAGCATCGCCAATCACCATGATAAGGGACCTGACATTTTGATGCATGCTTGCGTGTATGTCACTTGCTCTTCTTTATGGTCCACTCTTTTCTCCTTTCCAGCTTCTTACATCATAACCTACATCCTCTCACATCTTCTGTGAGAAAATTGAAATCATGCCACTGTCACGTTTTCGCGAACATCCTGTCTGTCTGTCTGTCTGTCTGTCTGTTGTGTGTCGCAGTCTCATCGGCGGTTTCCGTCTGTGATTTATGTGACCTTTTAGAAGTTTGTGTTTCTTTGATCAGTGATCAGCTTTTGACCCGTAAACTCGTATGACCTTTGATATCGAAGAACATTTGTGATCTCTGGCCTCTATGACCTCTGACCATTTGCGACCTCTATGACCTTTTGTACTCCGTGACCTCCTAGAACCTACATGACTTCGGTGCCACCGTTTGTAACCATCTGTGACTTCAGTGACCATTTATATGTGCCGCCCTCCTCAGAAGCGATTGCAGACGGCAATCGACAGCGTCGAGCTGCCGCGGTCGCGGCTGGTGGCGGGGGCGGCCGAGCCGCCGGAGCCGCCGCCGCCGCCCACGCCGCCGCCGCCGCCCTCGCTGGTCGGTGATCGGATCACCTTTACACGCTGCAGCCACCGGCAGAGTTTTGTATGACGCGCCGGCCGCCGTGCTGAGAGGGGCGGACTCATATACCGGCCGGGAGACGGCCGGACCTCAGGTGAACGGGGACTGTTACAACGGGTGAAACGGACCATGACTGTGTGTTAGAAGAGAGGTGGACCGCGGGTGTGTTGGGAACGGGATCGGACCACGGGAAGGACCACGAACCGGACCACCGGACCAGACTACAGGTGTGCCAGTAACGGCTCCCAAATGTTTGTCAGCGGACCGGTTGAAAGTGTGTGTATGTTCTGTTGTGAGATGGGGTGATGGTGGTCCGACCTGTCGCAGTATGTGGCCGAGACGGTGACGGTACGCCATTGGCAAAGGCCACGTACCGGACGGCGGTCGCGCAGTGTAAGTGTGGTATGCGTCAAACTACCGTTCTCGGATCGTTGTGCCGGTTGGCAGCGAGGAGTGTCCATCGCTGACCCGATAAAAGAACCCTGCACCGGCCAGTCACCACCAAAATGGCCTGCCGTCGCCGCCAAACGCTGCGGAATGTTGGCTAGATCCGCGTCGTTCTGCGTAGCGAGGCGTATCAAACTTTCACTAAATGCAATACATTGATCCAGGCCGCTGTTACAGCGGTCCGGGTTGCTGGCTCAGACCAGGGCCGTATGCACCCAGTCTGCCAACTCTGCGCCAGCGACTGAGAGAGGCCGAGCGAGTGACGAGCGCTAACTAAAACAGCTATTCTTTATCCGTGTTTAATAACTGTGGCTAATGGAATGTTGAATGTCATTTGTCGTTTGAAACTGTTACCGTGAACTATGGATGGGATTATGTCATGTTATTATCAGTCACCTCATCACTCACATCTGATCGGAAGGGTCCACAAGCTTTCCGAATCTGAATTAAAGTACGTAACTTCATAATGCTGTTGCAATTTCGCAAAATACTCATCAAATATGTTTTCTATCATTCTACGCATGGTTGAAGTTACAAGAATAAATGTTGTTCAGAGATACGGATGCTTTGTTGCATATCATGGCATTTGCAATTAGTAGGTACCGAATGGCAATCGTCGCCGGATTTCTGAAATAATGAAATATATACGCCTACAACTGGCAATACATAAAGGAGGTGCGATGTTCTCAAGTTTCTATTTCGGAGTTGAGGCCTTTGGTCCGTTCGATCACGCAGCCTACCGTTGAAGGTCAACGATAAAATAATGAATGAAACTGATCATTATGTACCATAAGTGATAATTCACGATCCATATCCACCAATCCATAAACGACGTGGCCGGCGATGTGAATGTGACGACACTTTTGCCATTTCATTTCACTGGAAGTCCTAAGCAGGGCTGCGGAGTCGATGGATTTTCGGCGACTCCGACTCCGACTCCGACTCCGGCTTTCAAAAACCAGCTCCGACTCCGACTCCGACTCCGGGCAGAATTGTCGACTCCGACCGACTCCAACTCCCGACTCCGACTCCGCAGACCTAGCAGGGCTGCGGAGTCGACAGATTTTCGGTGACTCCGACTCCGACTCCGGCTCGGGTTTCTAAAATCGACTCCGACTCCGACTCCGACTCCGGTCACAACTGTCGACTCCGACCGACTCCGACTCCGACTCCGACTCCGACTCCGCAGCCCTGGTCCTAAGCACGTCCTAAGCTGAAAGTTCTATTGTCGACTGTTCAGGAGTCAGGATCGAAACCATGCGGAAGAAAAGGAAAGGCCCCCTTCCGCCATACACATACAGAATATCCCAGAGAGGGATAGCGGCTGGTAGTTCACTTCCACCTGCTCACGCTTCCAGTACATATAGTTCGAGATGTTCCGTAAAACCGGCCAGCTTCCAGCCCCGCGGCCACTTCTGACGAGCTCTTGAACGATCAATTTCAATGGCTGTCCAGTCCAGACACCCAGATAAAAAGGCTTGCTGCTTCCTCTCGTAAACACTAAACTGCCCAAGACGAGCAGTCTTTCCGTTTTTCTTCGGGCCGTCCAAACAGAGAAAACAGTTGGCTTCAGAAACAGTCCCGTCGTGGCAGCTGGGGCCCTTTAGAAGAACAGATGGTACACACAACAATCGTCCCTAAAAAGTGAAACTTAAATGAAACTTGTGTTATCGTCAGAGAACAAAAGGTGGCTGTAACTTGAAGACGATAGCGGTTGTTTCGCTGTTTTGCGAGAAGACATTATCACGCAATCGCAGTATCATCAATCTCACAGGAACAGTGAGGGGTCCGAGTTACTTCCTGGATAATTATCCTTTGTTCATGCTTATCAGTTCATGCTTATCAAATTGCAGGACAGTATTAACTCGAGGAAACGAGGAATACGCGACTGATCATGACGGTTATATTTTATTATAAACATCAGAAAACACAAGCAACTTGGTCATGGTCCAGCTAACAGCATACCACGGTGCATCATGTGAACACGCTATCATTAAATTACTTGCACACGCGGACCACAAAATGCTAGCAATACGATTGGGAGGAATGACTCGTCTTTACAGGAGAATACACAGCGAACCGGTTCATAGTTATGTGTATCACAAATGCATCACTTGGATCCAGGAGCTCACCACATAAGTATTCAACAAACGGAAGACGGCAAATACTCACCGAGTGGATAAGCACAATGTAGTTAATGCGGCAAACAGATCTAATACCTTGTTCATTTAATGCTGCTGCATAATCTCTGACTGGAAGACTCGCACCATGCCGAAGGCAAAACCACCCCTAAGGCACGGCAGCTGGGCTGACGCGCTAGCACCATATGGATCAGATCATATCGGAACGCGAGAGCACGGCCAGGACTGTCTCTCGCCGTCTCGCCACGCAGTTGGAGTGTATGTCAGTGTTGGTGTACCACAAGGCATGGCACTCTGGAGCACACAGTGGCCACAGGGTGAACAGAAATAACCCAACACTAAAATACAAACATCAGCGACATGTGAATATGGTCACAATAAGAAAAACGTGATGATTAAAAAGTTATATCAGAAATACAGAACGAGCTCGTTCTAAGTTCTTGAACGTGTGTGAAGTGAACAAGACAAAGATCTAGGATTCCGCCCGGCTAGAGACGCGGGAGGCGTGAGGAGCCGGTGGTCACAGCTCATCTCTCGGCTGTCGTTCCCCCGCCTGACTGGACCGCCGCTGGCCGCTCGCAGCCTGTACCAGGTGTCCGCGCACAAAGCGGACGATTTTCTCCGGCTCCAGACTGACCACTTCTGTGCCTACCATGTCCAGTCGGCCGCCACCCTCGTACACCTTCAGCGTCGGGTAGGCCCGTACACCGGCGTTTTGGCAGAGTCGCGGGTACTGCTGGCAGTCTACCTTGCCGCAGCGGACTTCTCCCTCCAGCGACTGGGGACAGAGACGCAGACACAGTCAGATAACGGCATCACGAGTCGTACACGGACGAACATACCACCACAGCAAGTACCGCGGAACAAATCACGGAAGCACGATCAACACCACTCGTCATACGCGAGCGAAAATGCCATCACAGCAGGCAGTTACCACCTTACCGCAGGTATCGTCAAGCTAACACACGGAAAACGTGAATAAAATCAAGCGATTGAGCCGGATACAGAAGCGGGGTACTCCAGCAGGTCTGCAGCATCTGCGGCACCATCGGACACGTTCCGTATCGGCCGATCTCATCGTCTCATGACCCGGCCCAGCTAGTTCCGGGTGAGCCACTAACTTCGAGAGCGGAGAACTTGAGCAATCGAGCACGGCGCCGCGGCGATTGGACGGCCGATCGGGTGCGTCATCAGGGACCGCTACGCCCGCGGGCGACCGCTCCGTACAGGAGCTCATGGCGGCCAACGAGTTATTGAACAAAGTGGGCACGATCGGGGTTCAACAGGTAAAAAGGAAGCGATTCAGAGCATGAAACCCATCCTGATTACCATAGCCGTCGAACCTCGTTTAACACAAGTGTAAGCCGAACACAGTTATTTGATTATATAAGCAAATTGTATCAGACATCAATAGCTCAGGCAAATCATATAGTCTACAGTTACATGCCTGAACCAAGATGGTAACCATGGCCATCATATCTCCGTTCTGAATGACGCCAACACCGCAGCAACAGTCCCGGCTCACTGCTGTGACTCCCCACTACCACAGCCCCTAGTTAGTCATCGTTAGCCTGCCTGCGTCATCATTAACGAGCCGCCGTCGATCTCGTTGATCAGCCGCTGAGCGTCACCGACTGGTGTGCGCCGCCGGCGACACGACAGCCGCCGGCGGCACAGCTGCCCGCGTGGGCCGCCCTGAATAATTGGCTGGGAGCGCGCGGCGCCCCTAACGACCGGCGGGAGCGGCTGGACCGGACGGCAGGGCCTGATGGCCGCCGGCGCGGTCCCTGACCGGCTGGGACGGCGCGGATGATCACAGTTGGGTAACAAAGACACTGAGAGCAGCGTCCCTGTCTGACTTTAGAGATACAACCCTTGCTGTTTGTCTCTCTCATGAATGGTTCGCATGTAGTCCGCTCTATCCTCCTCTACTTTCCACGGAATGTCTGCCTTTCCTCGATTATGCTTCGAAGTTTCCAGTCACTACACCCTCAGTCTCAGGTAGTTTTTGATCCACCATAGTCTCAATGGCGTCTCTTATGTTCCCTAAACCCTTCTCTCAGTGTCTCTCATGTCCCCATACCCTCTTCTCGTTGTCTCCATCCTCCGTGCCTCTCCAGCAAATCCTTTACCCGCTCTCGGGGGCTGTTCGGCCGGAACCGATTTGTCGACCGTGGCCGGCCGGCCGCGCCGCCGGTACTCTCACGGTGCAAGCCGGACCTCCCGGGTCGTTAGCAAAGGTCAGTTGGTAGCGGACCGGTCAGCGGGTACATACGGAGAGGCGGTTAGGGAGGACTGTAAGGGGCGGTCAGGAAAGGACTGGGAGAGGCGGTTAGGAGAGGACTCGGAGAGGCGGTTAGGAGAGGACTCGGAGAGGCGGTTAGGAGGGGACTGGGAGAGGCGGTTAGGGGAGGTCTGGGAGAGGCGGTTAGGGGAGGACTGAGAGACGCTTAGGAGAGGACTGGGAGAGGCGGCCAGCGGGACCGGGAGAAGTGGTCAGCTCTACCACTGCCGGGTTGGCGGAAAGGTGGGGCTCGCTTACGAGCTGGCCGTATCAGGTAGGCAGCACCACATGATGGGAAGTGGTTCATTATCGCGATGATGCCTAAAAAAGAGAAGTGAACGAACCGGCGTTGAATTTGAAATACACGATAGCTTTTACCACGCACCGCTCTATCTCTCTCCATCCGTGTATGCATTTGCTTGTGTGCTACTAGCGTCACACGTATTTACCAACTGACTCCTCCCGTTCCCGGCCACCATCTGTTGGCGACTTATTAAGGAAATATGGAACAGGCGGCCCGGCGCTGTTTGCCCGCGTCTATCGACTGCAGTTGATGACGACTTGTCAGCTCTAATTGCCGCCGCCTCGAGGGAGACAGAGTGCAGTCAACACATCGAGCCGAGGAAAAGCCGAGTGCCGGCAGCTCCCAAAGCCGGGGGCGTCATCAGCACATATCTGCTCCGGAGGGGGAGTGCCGTCAGCTTAGTTAAATCAGTGCCCGACACTCGCCCCTGGGAAGGTCGATCGATACCAACAAACTGAACCACAGACCCAACCAGAGCTGATTAGCATACGACCGAGACGTGATCTGTGGACAGGATTCAGTCGTGACGCGCATCCGTGATCAGAAACCAGTGGAGCGCGCTGGTGGGACAGAATTAAGACGGTCCCGCGTCTCGACTGTCGATTGAAATGCGGCGGATACGCCGAGCCTCATGCTTTTCCGCTGCCCGGTTCTTTTAATCGTCCGGTTCTTAACAACACAATTCACCCACTCGACTATCGGGGGAGGACAGGTGCTAAGTACCCTGTATGTGGCTGCTATGAGGGCTGCCGACTGCAGCAAAGAGATCAGGCCGAGAGCTTTCGCAGCATTGAGGTCGCCATATGGAACGGACAAAATATTAATGCGGTAGGTGAGAAGAATAGGGAGGGTCTGCTACCTCTCTTTAGTCTTACCCGTGCCACCAGCTGGAACTTTGGCGCGAACATTTGGCAGTGACCGCACCAGGGCGTGTAGAAGTCCACCAGCCACGGGCCGGGACCGTCCAGTACGCGCGGCACGAACTCTGACTCTGCCAGCTCCGTGACGGGGTCCGGCAGGAAGCGCAGCGTCCAGTCGAGCAGCGACTCGGCGTCACGGTGACCAGAGTATACGCTGGGAACGCGAGGCGAGGGAGAGTCGGACACAGCGACAAACACTGGACTCAGTACCTGTTTGACCCAGAGTCAGGCCGCTTCAAACGATGGGACAGGACCTAAGGCGTCCGGTAAACGCAGGGAAAGGGACGGAATCGGTCGTCGGGGACCGGATGTCACACATCAGGAAAGGACCCAGGCCTTCCCCCAGATTCAGTGAAAGTGAAGGAGGGAGGTTCTGGAAGAAGAGCGTCGGACACCGAGGCTGGTATATCTTTCACGAATAAGTTTCCAGTCTGCATATATCTGGTGACCAGCAGACCACGCGTGGCCACCGCTGCGCCACCTACCTGTAGCTGTGCAGGCCACCTTTTCCTGGCCGGTACAGCCGTACGGTCGGGTAAGAGCGCACGTCCTGTTCAGCACAAAATGTCCTGTGCTCGGCACAGTCCACCTGTGGGAACGCGGGAGGGGATATTGGATCAGCTGAGGCACTAACATATTCAAAAAGTTCATCCGTAAACACCAAATAACCGACACAGCTCAAGTTACAATTAGCGACGCGTTTGGTCATGGTGCCCATCGTCGTAATGGGTTACTAAAATGACCGAGGCAGGACTAAGGGCATCGTAACTTGATACAGAGGGTGCCATTACCACAAAGAAACAGATGCAGACTGAGGGCGTAACGCGTTAACATAGACAGGTAGGTAGATTGAGCGCATCGTTACCAGACAAGAGACAACAGCGGCAGTCCAAGGGTGTCATTACCAGAGACAGAGATAGACTGATGATAGCGTCACGGGAGACAGAAGCAGACAGTCAGGACGTCCTTACCATGGCGACTACGGCCGGTACGTTGTGCTGCTTCAGGAGCCGGGCGGCACGCCGGTACTCGGGAGCGAACTGGACGCAGGGGCCGCACCAGCCGGCGTAGAAGTCGATCACCCAGAGCTGGTCGGCCGGCCGGCGGCGGGCCAGCTCCTGTTGCACGGGGTCGTTCAGAGCTACCACTGGGGAGGGAGAGAGAGAGAGTCGGCACTCACACGGACCACTCAGAAACGGAGGAGTGAGTCCCCTGGTAATACGTCCAAGATCTAAACACAAATGACAGCGGCCCTCCATGACTGAGTACAACATTGACCGTTTAGTAAGCAGGTGGTCAATCCACTTAAACCTCGCAGCTTTCCGTATCCACCTATGGGTTACCTATATCGTAACGGCCAACGGGTAGTACCAGCAAACTCAACAAATACCAGAATTTTAGCATTTCCCAGGATAATTACAAACGTTCTCCGCGGATCTCTCATCCCTCTCCACGTCTCTTCAAACGTCAGTGGCTTGCAACTCCCACACATTACAGCTTTAGACACCTACGTCCCTTACATCCCCATCCCATCAATGTCTCCACTACACCCCTCGCTCTCCCACCTGCGGGCCTCAGTGTGTCCTCTATGAAGTCGAGCAGACCGGCGGCGGTGTGCGGACCGCGGTACACGTGAGGCTCCGACTTGTTGTACACTATTACCGTCGGGTAGGAGCGGATGTTGTAGCGCGAGCACAGCGCCGCGTGCGCCGTGCAGTCCACCGACCTGAGATCGAACAGGGGACGTTGGACACGGTAAATCAAATCGGAGGTTTTGATACGAGAAAACATGTCTAAGATACACTCGGAGACGAGCTTAAGTAGAAATGTTACATGTGAAGAAGAGTAAAACCGTGGGAGGGATCGAATACTGAGAAAGGCTGACCAATAATGGCCAGGAATGAGACGGGTTGACCAGAGTTCGAATTATACGATTATCAACAACCCCACGCAAATAGCTTAAGCTTGGACAGCAAGGGGGCGCTACTTCACTGGATTTCCACATAAATACCGAAAGTGGGCCCATTTCCTCCCTCTCCTCTCACCCGAACGGCAGAGCCGACTGTTGCGCGCTGGCCTTCCTCAGTTCCGGCATTAGTCTCATACAGGGCGGACACCAGGGGGCGAAAAAGTCCACCACGCGCGGCTGGCCGTCCCGCAGTGCCGACTCCAGCTCCTCCGGACCCAGCACGCTCAGAGAGGCCGCGGCAGCGTCCCGAGCGAACGCCGCCACACGGTGTGCAGTGGCACGCCCGTGGAACAGTTCATAACCCCCGCCGCGCGCCGCCGGTTTGAACAGCACAAACGCCGGGTATTTAGACACGTGTAGCTGTTTGCACAGATGCGCCAGTGTCGAGCAGTCGAGTCGAGCGAACGATGTGGAGGAGAGCAGTGTGGGCAGTCGGACCAGCTCCATAGTTGGTGCCAGGTCGGCGGCGAGCTCGACTAGCCACGGTAGAGCGCCGCCGTCCCGGTCCTTCCGCAGAGAGGCGCGCATCGACTGCCGGTACAGGGACGGGGGCGGTCAGGTGGCGGGGTGATGGAGACACGGGGAGGGAGGTGGAGGTATAGGGAGAGAGAGAGAGAGAGACAGAGAGAGAGAGACGCAGGCCGTTGCGAGCAGACGCGAGAGAGGGAGTGGTGTGAGACAGGGCGGTGGATTGTCTCTCCGTTTACCTTACATAAGTAGAATGATACGATGTCTCATAGCCTGAGCGGAGCATTTTGTGTCCTAGCACTCACTCGGTACTTAATCCAACCACACTCACCTGATACTCCTCCTCGGTGAGTGTGGGCAGCGGCGGCAGCAGCCGGAGCGCGGCCGCCGCTATCTCCTGGGCGTCCAGGCTGTCGATGGTCTGTCCGCTGTCGGCAGTCACCTCCCCGGCCGGGTAGTAGACGACCGCCCCGGGTGGCCGCAGGGTGTCACACAGCTCCGACTCCGCGCACGATACCTGGCCCACGTTCACCACGCCGTCCTGTGGAGAGAGAGGGGACGATCACTGACCCACCCGGACCGCAATCAGCAACGGCAGAACGCAGCATACAGCCCCAAAGTGTACTTGGCAGTTGGCACAGAGGGCGCAGTCACCGATACATTTGGTTCACAGATGCCGCACCGACCTGTCTAGCGACCCATGCTCTCCGATCTCCCGGAACATGTTCAAGACACCATCCTCGCCGCAGAAGAAACAGTTCTACGTGCATGAGCCCGTTATTAAGTCACCAAACCACTCTGCTCGCCCGTTCCCAATCCGTCCCCAAGGTATCTCCATCGGTCCATCGGCTCTCTTACCATCATGGCCGCCACCTTGAGCCGGGTGTCCTCTGAGGCCGGCGTCGGCCGCTCCTCGCCGCCCTCAAAGAACAGCAGCCACGGCCGCTCGGCCAGCACGGCGCTGCGCCGGCTCAGGTGCGCCACGTTCGACGCGTCGACGTCGATGGGCGCCGCCGACAGCCGACGCAGCACGTGACGCACCAGGCGCTCCGCGATCCGGTCTCCCTCGTAACGCTCCCTCTGTCCGGAAGGGGAGACGGTCATTTATTGTTTGACAGACTGAAGTCGCAAAGCACAAAAGTCTGAATAAACTGTTTGCTTTTCCAGCGGCTGTAATAAAGCACTTAGCTTGTAGCTACTTTTTCACGAAACGTTTCCGAGCACCCACCATGCTCAGTGTTTATGCTCGTTAGTGTCCCATGCAATACGTTATATCCATAATTGCTGACAGAAGCAAGTTAATGTGTGCGACTCACTCCTGCACAAAACCTCAGGACTCTGTGCGCTGCGCCGACTGACCTCCGGATAGAAGAGCAGCGTCGGGTAGCCGTGAATACCCTGCTGTCGGCAGAGGGAGCGCTCCTCGGCACAGTTGACCGCACCCACGCGGATCACATTCTCCAGCTCCCGGGCCATGCGGCGCCATTCTGTGGAAAACGGGACCGGTTAGATGGGACGGGACAGGGCCAGATGGCCAGATGGGACAGGGACAGACGGGACTGAATGAGACAGACGGGACGGAGTCAGATGCGATGGGACAGTTAGACGAGACAGTCGTTCGGAGCAGAGCCCCGCGCGTCAGTCCGACGGAACAGTCGGACGAGACGGAGTCAGATAGGAAGGGACAAGGTCAGAGGAGACAGCGTCGAGCAGGATACAGCTATGGTGGCGATGATTACGGAGCGAGCGAAGCGAGCGTAGTCTTTCCTTAGATTAACAGAAATTTCTGAGTATGAGCGGCCGGCCGGCCGGCCGGCCGGCCGTGCGGACGCTTTTGCGAGGCTTATATCTCAGCAACCACTTGACCGATTTACACGCGGTAAATTTTGTAGGGTAGCTTCATTCCTTCTACCAAGTATTGGACTATTCCCGATGCATGTGGGTGACCCCTTATGCACGTGCCACGTGCAAAACGAAGAGGTGTCAGTTTTGTAATTGTTGCAATATCTCGGTAACTACTTGGCCGATTGCGCTGAAAGTTGGCATGTAGATAGGCACCCACTAGGCACTGCATATCCATGTGCCAGAGTTGGGGTGCTGCTGCACGTGCGCACGTGCAGGGGTCGTTTCCAGATCTCGAGAACGGCTGGACCGATGGCGCTCAAATTTGGTACACGATTAGGGACCAGTTAGTAGGGTGCCGTGCACAAGTCAGTTGGGACCCATTTTGCACGTGCGCACGTGCAGGGTGCCGCTTCCAGATCTCGAGAACGGCTGGGCCGATTGTGCTCAAATTTGGCACATCGCTAGAAACCGGTCAGTAGGGTGCCGTGCACAAGTCAGTTGGAGGTACCCCCTCGAAATTTCGCACGTGCAAGACTCACCCCCTCGCTCGCTCCGTTAGTCGCCCCAAAAGGCGTTATACTGGTTGTTACGGAGCGAGCGAAGCGAGCGTAGTCTTTCCTTAGATTAACGGAAATTTCTGAGTATGAGCGGCCGGCCGGCCGGCCGGCCGTGGTCACGCTTTTGCGAGGCTTATATCTCAGCAACCACTTGACCGATTTACATGCGGTAATTTTTGTAGGGTAGCTTCATTCCTTCTACCAAGTATTGCACTATTCCCGATGCATGTGGGTGACCCCTTATGCACGTGCCACGTGCAAAACGAAGAGGTGTCACTTTTGTAATTGTTGCAATATCTCGGTAACTACTGGGCCGATTGCGCTGAGAGTTGGCATGTAGGTAGGCACCCACTAGGCAATACATATCCATGTGCCAGAGTTGGGGTGCTGCTGCACGTGCGCACGTGCAGGGGTCGTTTCCAGATCTCGAGAACGGCTGGACCGATTGCGCTCAAATTTGGTACACGGTTACGGAGCAGTTAGTAGGGTGCCGTGCACAAGTCAGTTGGGACCCATTTTGCACGTGCGCACGTGCAGGGTGCCGCTTCCAGATCTCGAGAACGGCTGGGCCGATTGTGCTCAAATTTGGCACATCGCTAGAGACCGGTTAGTAAGGTGCCGTGCACAAGTCAGTTGGAGGTACCCCCTCGCAATTTCGCACGTGCAAGGCCCACCCTCTCGCTCGCTCCGTTAGTCGCCACAAAAGGCGTTATACTGGTGGTTAAGCTTCAACCAAGTCCAGACTATTTTGGTCATCAGAGGCCACGGGAAAGGCAAAAATCAAATGGGACGGGGAGGAACGGAGTTGGAGGGAAGCACCAGATTCAGAGAGAACGGTATAGGCGGTAATCACATGGTTAAGCAGATAAAAGGAAAATGTGGAGATGAGAGGTCGAGTCAAACAGGTCACAGCGATTAAATTGTGCAACATATAAAGCAGTACAAACCGCACCAATCCCCCTGAATACCACAGAGCCGGATACATACCCGAGAAAATTACAAACGACGTAGTCATCTGAACAGGATATGAGAGCAGGATACGAGGTGCAGCCAGTCGTCTGACGCGACCGACGTGTGGAAAGTACGGACAGGCTGAGAAAGCACGGGATGGGAGAAGCGCTTTTTTAAGTACCGCGTTGTTCGCTCAGAAATCATCAGCAATGAACCAGAAAGCAAGCATTTCAAGCTTTCCTGTCATTACACCTCATAAGACGAATGTCCTTCGTGATGCCATTGCAATGGTATTGAAGCTTGCAGGTATCGTAGTCGGCCTGCCGACCACCGGACTGGTTCTGTGCGCCGCCTGCCACGTGCGGTGTGCGTGCCAAAGTTGCGTGATTGATAGTCACACAGACATTATTATGCAGGTCTTCGTTCTCTGTGAACCATTCCAGCGACTGTGGGGGGGGGGGGGTTGATCCGCACATCACGTGCATACGTGCGCTCCCGTCCTAATCCTGTGCTGACGTTTTCGGTCTCATCTCCTTCCGTATCGAAACCATCTGACACGGGACGTCCCCGATGGCCTGAAACATCCACTATTTGGTGCCTTTTTAAACCTTGTAAACTGGCCGTAATTTGCGATACTAGTCCAATTCTTAGCATTCCTGTCATTTGCAAGCACGCTTCAGCAACAGCTCTTTTACTTCATTACCGATAGCCATCTATACTCATCCCAACACGACTTTCGCCGCTGCCAATGTACTGGGCCCTCCCTGTTCGGCTGATCCCCTTATCCACGGCATCCAGCCTGCCCTTCAATTCAGATCAGTATTATTTCGTGCCCACGTACTTTACCACATTCGAAGTTGAGATCATTGATACTTGGAATAACACGTAAGTTACTTCCTGTCCTCGTACATACGGGTCGATGGGAAAACTGTTCACTGTGCAGGACAACCAGATTAGGACAGTCCAGTCTTGTTGTTTGAAAATCATCAATTTAAATGAAGACTGGGACGCAAACTTCGGTGACTATTCGACAGTGTATAGGTCCACTAAGGGGCCTAATAAATTCAAAGCACAGGATTCCGCCAGATGTTATGCAAAACGTCGCCCAAGGATCAGTCTAATCGTGCCACTACATACATTGCTGTACTTGATACAGGAAAAAAAAACTCAAAGCAGCTTACCATAAGCAGTTTAACATCAGGGACAGCGCCGGCCTCGCAAGCGTTAAAACCTCGCACATCTCACTCGTCGGCAAATGATTCTCGTCGACAAGGCCCATATTTATCATGGCTGCAGTACCAACATAAAACAATTACACTATGCATACGGCGAGCCATCAGCTGTCTCAGAATTTTGGAACACTAGGCGGCTTCGGCAGCGACATGAGCGTGGCAATAGTCAGAATCGAAAGCTGAGACCACCTTCCTCTTCATGCATCGGTACTGTTACCTGAAAAACGTCCTATTTTATCGTAAAACATCTTCTAACGTGTTTCCTCGATGCGTCGAGTGTTATCGTTTTTTTTTTTTGCAATTTCAGTCTGTTCCATTTTGAATTATGGCCTAGTATAGCTTCAAGTCCAGGACCTCGGAGTCGATGGGTATTACGCTCCCGTCACGTCTGATCTGGTCGGACGCCAAGTGCGGGGGGTGAGCTTCAGCAAACCGCTATCCGAGGTTAGTGTTCTTCCTCGGCCCCGGTTCCGTCTGGCCCGGACCCCGGGTCCGGGACCGGCGGTCAGTGTACGAGACCATCGGTCCGGACCCGGGGTACGAGATCATGGGTCAGGACCCGGGTCCGGACCGGGGTCCGGGATCACCGGCTGCTGTCCGCCCGCAGCTCCTCCCCCGGTAGAGGCGGACGGCCGTTATCTCGACGGACCGGCCCCGGAGCCGGACCTCCAGCCCGGCTAATACCGGCCCGTCTCCGCGCATTACACATAACACTCGGTTCCGGTGGGAGTCCCAACCCCAGCACAAGGTCAGATATAGGGTGAGCTTCAACCAGAGTTCAGCCTAATCCCACCAAAAGCGCCTGTATTCAGGAACTGAGGACAGGCCGCGGACTGGCTACAATTTATGCTAAAACGGGAGAACATCTTCAAACACTTGTCGCAGGGCGTCACGCTGGTTCATTAAGGCTACAAGCCGATTCAGTTAGACCAGAGTAAAAATTAGTGGCGGGCGGCGATAATCCTCCAGTCTGGGCGCAGACAGCAGCTCACGGTCACCAGCGCCATTGTCCTGACTCGAGAGCGGTTCAGCGTTCGTTCATGTCGTCGTACTGCTAACCTGCCTACTGTTGATACGAAAACTTCAATAACTTAGGGTCTTGCAAACGTTTTTACGTGCATGGTATTTCATAGGCGGTGTCGACCTATACGCCTGCCTTTCACCGTTCCCGGAGTGTTTTAAACGCACTGAATCAGCGCATGAATTCTGTCCCGAGGTCAGCGATAACGGGCGACCTCGGGACCAGAGACCAGTCGTGTGAGGCCGTTCGTGTAGCCAGTGGATTATTTGAAAGGAAAACGATATGGCACCATGTCACGACGAATGCTTACGAATCGGACTATCTGTAAAATCTAATCATGAAGAGCATCAAGTCAAGTCGCAAAAAAATGGCGGAATCGTACTCCAGCTGACGGACCATCTTCTTGAAAAAAACCGACAAGGACTTATTATCTACATTCTACTGTACAGTCAGAATTACTACATTTGGGCACCTGTAACAGGCAGTGAGCCTCTCTCCCGACTGGACATACCATACATTTCCTTGTTTGTTTATTGGGGCTTCAGGGCGCGCCAACTGCGAAGGTCATCTTGCGCCCACATACCAGGCATTTCCGTTCGGTTCCAAGGTCGCTTCGTCACAGCAGCCTTCCTATCGACTACCCGGCACAGCGCCCACCCTGTACGGTCGCAGCCCGTCGCTTTCCCGCCGTGTTCACTTTGATCCAGTCCCTGTCCGTCCCAGTCGCTGTCCCGCCCAGTCACTCTCTGCCTCAGCCCCTCCCCTGTCCTGTACGGCCTTGTCCCGTCTCTGTCCGGCGACAGATCCGTCCGTAACTAGCCACAGAACCGTCACTGTTTGTCCCAGCCACGCCCCTGACCGTTTAGAGCGCCGTCCTTACCTGACCCAACCCCATTTCTGTCTGGCCAGTGGCCCAGCCCAGTTCCTGCCGAGGCCTAGCCCTGTCTGGCTCTGTGCAGTCACAATCCTGACTGTCCGCCCCAGCTTTGCCTCCGTCCCTGTCCTGATACAGTTGTGTCCTTGTCTAGTCATATCCCCGTTCCTGTCGGGCCCTACCCCATCCCTCCCCTCGCCAGCCCCGTCCTCCTCTGGCCCAGCACCGCTCCTGTCCCATCCAGCCCGTCCCAGTGTCTCCAGGTATATGGTCAGAGTCCGTCCCGTCCCTGACCGCCTCACCTGGCGCCAGATCGTGGCAGTGGCTGCAGCCGGGGGAATAGAAGTTGATGAACCAGATGTCATCTGCCTGCACCACTGTCTGCTCTGTAATACCAGATGGGGACATACGTCAGATCACTGCCGAAAGTCTGGCAGACATCCGTCGGGAGCGCACACCACGCACGGTGCAAAACAGATCACTCAAATCGAAATCAAATCAGAATCAGAGATCAGAAATCAAATCGGATCAATCAAAACGAAAACTCCAACCAAGGGTAACTACACACAACACGATCACAACTCGTCCTATTAATTGTTCAAAACAGTACATCGCGCCGACTGAATTCAGTACGACCAATTCCGTTCACAGCCAACACCCACCGAACCCGACACAATTAATTCAATCAGTCCCCACCCACCGAACTCAGTGCGGTCCAGTGTAATGATCTCCGGGTCGTCGTCGTAGATGCCGAAGTTGTCGTGGTAGTAGCTCCAGGACTGATACTGGCGCCGGTTGCCGCTGCTGCCGCTCTCCTCTCCAAACAGATCGTATCGTTTGCGCAGGTCCGGGTCCTTCAGTGTCTCGTAGGCACGATTGATGAGCAGAAACTTGTTGTGCGCCTCTGGGTCGTCCTGACAAAACCCAGAGGGAAAAATTGAGGCAATGTACTACAGTCTTACCTACCATCTTTGATGTGCATTGCTTCTCAGCACAACCATGGACTGGCTATACACAGTGAGGCTTCCTTAGAGAAAGGCAGGACCTGCCAGGCCCAGAATCTCAACTGAGCAGACTGGTGATTCCATTTGAGAAACAATACAATGTTAAAACAGAAAATAAACACCAGTATCCCTAACTTATTGGCTTCAACTTGTCATCTATACTCTGTTCAGTCTGTTCAGTGTCAGATTAGGTAAGTATATAGGTATTAAGCTTAGTTATTTTGCAAAATAGGTAAAAATCAGTATTTGAAGTCACTTTCATAAGTAGATGGCGTAATAAAATAAAAACTTATCACTATGACTCATTGCTGTAAAAAGTTAAATACCTACATCAAAATAATCGATGAATAAAGGACACAGGTGTGCTTAAGTGATGCTAAAGGCATGGATTCATGGCTTACCTACCTTATTCTTGTCAGGGTGATATTCAAGAGCAGCCTTCTTGAATGCTTTTCTGAGTTCTCTATTAGTGGCATCTTTACTAATGTTCAGAACTTTATAAAAATCTTCTCCACCCACAAATTGTGATACAAGAGCAACAAATAAAATACAAGAGACACTTTGAAGCACTTTCATTTTAATAATTGCTAATATTTAACATCTGAGGGTTAAACCAATTTGTGATAATCAGGCTTATCCTGCAGTAGTATCATATGTGATGAAATTCATCCATACCTAAGATAAATGGTATATGTGAAGATGAAGTCAGGGCAGTATGTAGGTTGGTAGGTTGTAGGTTGGTAGGTTGTAGGTTGGTAGGTTGTAGGTTGGTAGGTTGTAGGTTGGTAGGTTGTAGGTTGATAGGCTGTAGGTTGGTAGGTTGGTAACTTGGTAGGTTGGTACTTGGTAGGTTGTAGGTTGGTAGGTTGGTTGGTTGTGGGTTGGTAATGGTTGTGGTTTAGTGTAGGTTGTAGGTTGGTAGGTTCAGGTTGGTAGGTTGGCATGTTGAATGCTAGAATGTTAGTAGGGAAGGTTAGGTCAGGTTATATTGTTTTTTATCTATTTACTCAGACTTCATCTCCACATTTACCAGATACATTTTGCTACATTTACAAAATAAATGTTGTATGCAAGTGATGTGTATCTCATCATATGAGAAGACTACATTATGATATCCATAATGCATTACATGCATCCACAGATTAAGGTCATTACCAATAGATACAAGCAGTTGTCTGGCAATTAATTGCATGCTAAATGCTAGTAAATGGTGCTTAGAGACACTGGTCATCAGACAGTATCATCAGACTGTGAACCAGGCTGAAAAAAATACACTACCGTAAACCAGAGCAACTTTGTACCACTTTTTAGGTTTTTGTTGAATATCTTTTTTAATTGTTGTCCAATCTGGCTAGTTTTTTTGCAAGGTGGAAGCTACAACCTTTGTCAACAGTTTGCTCTAGAGTAAAAGAATGCTAGCATCTTGAGTTATTTTATTTTTTTATTGAACAAGTGGTCAAAGTTGTAGAGGGGTTTTACAACTTTGTACCACTGATTATAATCCTATTTTATTCAATGCTAACGAATAAAATGGTATTTTACAGAGCATCTTTGGTCCACATAAGTTCTTTTAAAAAATATCCTGACACACCAGGACTTCAACTGGCTGAAAACAATCACAGAAACACTGGTTTACAATGGGGCAACAGATTCACAGTGAACGGCTGTTCCGGGCTTTGGATGGAGTAAAATCACATGAGCACTCTGGCTTTTAAATGAGCGGCTGAGTAAGAACCACAAAACTCAGCACCTTCAGAAGTCACTTGACAGTTCTCTAACAAATGAAGGTGAATTGTCCACGGGTGCCAACCGGGATGGGAGGCTGGAGCTTGCGGATGACATCGCTGAATGAGTAGGTAAGAATATCATCATGCCTAGGCCACTTAAACCTATTACCAAACTGCTCCATGGCACGGATTTTCGGCCCATCATCTGCGACAGCCACCACCTCACCCCGGATTTGGATAATCTGGATTTGGAGGGCTAAAAATGAAATATAGACGCAGCAGCATAACCAATCGACTATCAACATCAATAACTTCCAGCATTGACTGTCATAAATGACGAAAAAAGTATGCTATAGTGATGAGAAGCTTCCTAAGAATGATTTCCTGGTGGACCAAAGTTGTAGCATTTTGACGGAAAAAGTGCTTGCAACTTTGACCACCACCCCTAAAAAATGACCATAAAAAGAAAATGGGGGTTTTCTTCCTCTAAGCCTTTGGAGAACTCATGTACTTACTGTCTAGATAGCCAGTGTCGCTCCAGTTCTTACCAGTTCCGCTCCTTACATCATCCTAGCAACTTCTGTTTTTTGCGCCAAAATCAAGGCTTTTATTATAAAAATTCTGCTGCTGTCAAGGTCACATAACAAAAGCAGGTCTGTTCACACATAGTTAGAGCACATATTGGGCTAAATTGCCTGCATGAAAAAATGTCCCAAATATTACGATGGATTTTTTAAAAAATCAGCAAAGTATCTTTTCCATGGTGGACCAAAGTTGCACCGATGGACCAAAGTTGCTCTGGTTTACGGTACGCCACATGCCTGAGAGACTTCCAAATCCCTTGCACAAAAAGTTGGTGTGATTTTGTGTTGAAATTGAATCCAAATTGAGACCAAAGTTATTACTGAATTGTGACAAATGCTACCCTTTTTAACCATTTTAGCTCATGCACATCACTCGATTTGCCATAAACATTAAAAAATTTGATATCAAACAATGACTGAGACTGGATAAAAAGAAAGTTAAGCACAAACAAGAATACTTGGTGAAATCACCCTTTTACACCCCAGGACTCTGGATCACATCCAATCATAAATCCATGGGTGTTTTTTTTTTTTTTTTGAATCAGTACAGGCTTGGTCAGGTAGGGCCCGAGCCCTCAGCCCTACCAATAATTTCAGAATTTCAACATTGACTTTGTGGCGGTGCATGGTAGGAATGGCTTAAGTATCCTGAAATTAACCATTTTTTAAATGATGTCCGAGCGTAAATCGTTGAACAGACACAAACAAGGGAAAAGGAACAGTTTTGTTATAACTAATAAGTAGAGTGATCAGCTCACAAAAAGAACAAATATTTCTTTTAGTAATGCCAGTAACCCAAACTAGAATTCAATTGAAAGGTTATATAGCCTTGATTGAAAGGAAAGAATCTAGCAAACTTCTAGGGAAAGAAAAATAAAGTTAACAATAACAACTCGGGTTACAAATTACTGATGCTGATTATCTCGAAGGCCGAAGCACAGGCACGATAGAATACATGTTGAATAGATGTGAAAATTGTTTGTTAAATACATAAGTCTGCACCGCCCATTCTGCAAAAAGGATGGAATAGGCCGGGGCGGAATCGCTTGTAATGTGTTTACAATACGTGTCACTGTCCCCTATATATGGCCTTGACGTGTCCACACAAGATTGGCCGGCGTTTGTTTACGCTGTTATTTGCCGCGATGCGCCAGTTTGTATCGTTTGCTGTGTGACTGGAAATCTAAAATGCTGCAAAATTTACGAGCAACAAAAAAGCAATGATCCGTGAGCGATCGTGGGTATTTACCATGCTGTTTTTGATAAATATCTGGTTAGCATAAAGTCAGCAGAAAGGCATAATGCTTTATAATCAACGCTATATTTGAATTAATCTAGTATCTAACGAGCACTTCAGCTACCTGATGAACGGTTCCACTCTAGCTCAGGTGCATATGGAGAAGGACCTTGGACTCGTCATTGATGAAGACCTCAAGTTCCATGAACAGGTGGCGGCTGCCGTGGGTCGAGCGAACAGAGCTCTTGGACTAGTGAAGAGGGCTTTCAAAGCCCTAAACAGTCATTCTCTGCCTCTCCTCTACCGGACTCTGGTGCGTCCTCACCTTGAGTATGCAAATGTGGTGTGGGGACCTACATTCAGATCGGACCAGGATGCCATTGAGAGGGTCCAAAGAAGAGCAACTAAGCTGGTTCGTCCATTGCGTCACCTTCAGTACCAGGATCGACTTCGGGCCTTGGACCTCCCCTCCATGTACTATAGAAGGATGAGAGGAGATATGATAATGGCGTACCAGATTCTGACAGGATGCCTGAGAGTGAAAGTAGCCGACCTTCTGCAGCTCGACACCTCAGATCGAACGCGTGGTCACCATCTGAAACTGAAGAAGAGACGAGTGAACTCCCATCTTCGCCAGACCTCTTTCTGTCATCGCATAGTGGACAGCTGGAACAGTCTCCCTGCAGACGTCGTCGCGGCACCGAACTCGAACACATTCAAGAACCGTCTCGACAAGCTGTGGGTGAACAGGAAGTATACCCTGCGAACTGATTGAGCATGTGGTGCCAGGATGAGCTAAAAGCTACATGGTTGGTGTAAGGGAGAAGCAAATGACCGGATTTCCTACAGGTCCTTTGTTGACCGTCCTAAAAATCCGTAACCACTATTCTATTCTATTCTTCTATCTACCAAGGTCGGTTGACGTCTCACAGTTTGATAACGTCCAAATGCACGGACCGCAGCAAGGCCCCCATATACCCGATCGCATTACCTACGCGCTCGAGCCCGTTATACGTTCTCCAAAGCGCCTTGCTGGTGGCGTTGGTGGGGGGAACGGGGGAGTCGGGAGGCTGAATTGAACGAACATTCATACAATTTCTAAACAAATGGCAAAATAAATAACGGTGGCGTACGTTTAGGCTAGCACAGGGGGGTACGCTCCGGCTGTTTAGCATTACGAAAAGTGGTGACAGACGTTTGTGGAGGATTGTCGACGAACTCTTGTTCCGCGAGCAGCACTCACGCGCTAGCGGAAAATCCACCAATCAGCGCTCGGCAGTGCTCGACGCTGATTGGCCCGACGCTCGTGACGAAATTGTGGGGGACCGCAGTTATTCTCTATGGACCCGAATAGGCTTTTGGATTTCGGAAGGGTTTCTTTAAGATTATATGCTGTTTCGAGCTGTTTTCGAGTTGAAATATATTTCTTATGACTGTTAGCTATATAATGGCACCATAAAATCATGATTTTAATTAATATTACCGATTTAAGAGAGTTTAGCGTAGTGAGGAAAATCATATTGATGATTATGAGCATATTTTTAATTGACCGAATCCTCAATGTAATCTGAATAAAATGACAAATAGCAAAAATTCGGGTATATTCGATCACAGATCTTTGTCAACCGATACCAGCAGGCGCCACAATTGTAGATGTCAAAATACTTTTTGTTCAGTACACATGCACAACAGTAGATATGTCCTCAGGGAAAAGATTTATGGTTGGTACTTCTAAAAGTCGCAGCAGTCAAACATAATATGTACAGGGAAAGCAGTCAAACATAATATGTACAGGGAAAAACCTATACACAAGATTAAAGTGCGTTTGTGCCTAAGCATATACGAATTTAAGATGAAACAATACTTGCGGATCAATTAAATGGGCAGCAAGTTACACTCTTACCCTGGACAAAGTTAGGGCACATATAACATTTACACTGTGCGAAACAATTAAATGAGCATATTATACATAAATGAACATTATATACGTAAATGAGCATACATGAGCGTATTATCATACTATGACTACTCATACCCTGGACAAAGTTAGGGCGCATACAGCATCTATGAAAACGATCTACACAATCACTTTTTAACGTGGTGAGCTCTTGAAAATGCTACCCTACTTTGGAAGTAGCTGCCAGGAGGTGCTGTTATCGTTAAGAGCTGGCATCCTATCGCGGATGGTGATGGATTCAGCAATCCTCCTGTCAGCTTCATCCTTACATTTGCGTACGATGCGTGCTATCAGAGTCGTGTCCGTTGGGGTCAGGTCTGGGTGCTCGTGCGCGAAATGTTCACCCATTGGTGTGCCTAGTTTCTTGTTGGTGCCATCTCGTAAGTGTTCGTTATATCGCAGTCGTATTGGCCTACCGCTTTCTCCTACGTAAGTTTTGTTGCACAGACTACATTTCAATTCGTACACTACGTTTTTCGTGTGACACTTTCCCCGCAGCCCAGCTTGACATGCGTGGCAGTGCTGTCTGCCTGAAGGACACGGTGGGTCTTTGAGAGCTGACCGCACTAGCTGTCTTTTGAGTGTGTTTTGATTTGTCCATGCTGCAAGGATCGGAAACCCTGATGTTTTCAGCACTTTTTGGACCTTGGAGGCCACTTCATCATTTATGAATGGTAGTTTGACGTAAACTGTTCCCCTGCGCTTCCTTTTGTCCCTCTGCACCCCAGCTACCCCCCTGTTTGCACGAGAGCATTCCCGTAGCATGACACTTTTGATGAGCTTAGCTGGATAACCGTTCAGCTTAAATAGGGACGTGACCATTCCATTCTCGCTGTGCAGAACTATACGGCCTGCCTAAAACTCACAAGACAGGCATTCCCCTGAGACCTATTGTGTCTGCCATAGATGATCCTCTGGATAGACTATCTTGGCTATTAGAGCAGGTCATTTCCCAGCTTCTTCAGTACGTGCCTGCCCACCTTAGGAGCACTGATGACTTTCTATCTAGGTTGAATGAGGCCTATCCTGCCGGCCTCCCGGAAGGGAGCATAATATTCAGCGTAGACGTAAAGAATCTTTATGGCAACGTGCCTACCGGGGAAGCCATAGACGCAGTCATCGCGCTTATCGAGGAGCACCGGGCAGAATTGAACCTATTTGGACTAGACACCAGTGACATCAGAACGCTGCTACAACACTGTCTCCAGAACAACTATCTTAGGTTTGGGGACTCGTACTTCAAGCAGACCCAGGGCCTGGCTATGGGATCCCGTATCGCTCCAACCCTAGCAGTTGTGTTCATGGGCTCACTCGAGAAACAGTTCTGGAATCACCCTAGGGGTTTGAAGCCGAATACCTACATGCGCTACATAGATGATGTGTTTGCGGTATGGACACACGGGGCAGAAAGCTTATCCGAGTACCTAGACTTTCTAAACTCGAAACATGAAACGATCAAGTTCACGATGGAGCGATCTGATGCAAACGGATCTCTCCCTTTCCTTGATGTACTGATTACAGTAAAGGACAACGGCACGTACACTACACAACTGTACATTAAGCCCAATGCCGCAAAACTTGTCCTTCACTTTCAATCGGCCCATCCTTTCACGACCAAAAAGGCAGTCTTAACAGGACATGTAAAAAGAGCCATTCGGATAAGTTCCGACATCCCAAGTAGGGACAAGAGCCTAGAGGTGATCACGTCCCTATTTAAGCTGAACGGTTATCCAGCTAAGCTCATCAAAAGTGTCATGCTACGGGAATGCTCTCGTGCAAACAGGGGGGTAGCTGGGGTGCAGAGGGACAAAAGGAAGCGCAGGGGAACAGTTTACGTCAAACTACCATTCATAAATGATGAAGTGGCCTCCAAGGTCCAAAAAGTGCTGAAAACATCAGGGTTTCCGATCCTTGCAGCATGGACAAATCAAAACACACTCAAAAGACAGCTAGTGCGGTCAGCTCTCAAAGACCCACCGTGTCCTTCAGGCAGACAGCACTGCCACGCATGTCAAGCTGGGCTGCGGGGAAAGTGTCACACGAAAAACGTAGTGTACGAATTGAAATGTAGTCTGTGCAACAAAACTTACGTAGGAGAAAGCGGTAGGCCAATACGACTGCGATATAACGAACACTTACGAGATGGCACCAACAAGAAACTAGGCACACCAATGGGTGAACATTTCGCGCACGAGCACCCAGACCTGACCCCAACGGACACGACTCTGATAGCACGCATCGTACGCAAATGTAAGGATGAAGCTGACAGGAGGATTGCTGAATCCATCACCATCCGCGATAGGATGCCAGCTCTTAACGATAACAGCACCTCCTGGCAGCTACTTCCAAAGTAGGGTAGCATTTTCAAGAGCTCACCACGTTAAAAAGTGATTGTGTAGATCGTTTTCATAGATGCTGTATGCGCCCTAACTTTGTCCAGGGTATGAGTAGTCATAGTATGATAATACGCTCATGTATGCTCATTTACGTATATAATGTTCATTTATGTATAATATGCTCATTTAATTGTTTCGCACAGTGTAAATGTTATATGTGCCCTAACTTTGTCCAGGGTAAGAGTGTAACTTGCTGCCCATTTAATTGATCCGCAAGTATTGTTTCATCTTAAATTCGTATATGCTTAGGCACAAACGCACTTTAATCTTGTGTATAGGTTTTTCCCTGTACATATTATGTTTGACTGCTTTCCCTGTACATATTATGTTTGACTGCTGCGACTTTTAGAAGTACCAACCATAAATCTTTTCCCTGAGGACATATCTACTGTTGTGCATGTGTACTGAACAAAAAGTATTTTGACATCTACAATTGTGGCGCCTGCTGGTATCGGTTGACAAAGATCTGTGATCGAATATACCCGAATTTTTGCTATTTGTCATTTTATTCAGATTACATTGAGGATTCGGTCAATTAAAAATATGCTCATAATCATTAATATTACCGATGTAATATCGGCCGAAAAGACATGCTGTCTTGGCACGGACTGCCCTGCGGCTGATGTGGGGCCTCTAGTGCCAGCGTATGGTAATAATGGGCTGAAGAAGGGTTATTGGAGACTCTTAGAGCCCCACCAGGATTCAGTATAGGGTCATCAGAGGCCGGGAACGTCCATCAGGGGTCTGAGTAGGCCTGCCATAGGGGCATACATGGACACATCATGGAACATGGGTCAATCTAGATCCATTAGGGGCCGTTGAAGGGCCATCATTGTTCAGCGTGGGCCCGCAATTACCTCTGATGGGCATATGCCGTGCCCCGATGGACTAACGCTGACCCCCGATAAACCATCACCAGCCCCTGATAGGTCTACAAAGCCCCCTGCTGGGTCTAAATTGGTCACTGACATGCCCAAATGGGCCACTGAGAAACCCGTACAAATCCCCTGACTGCACCTGATGGACCAATGCCGTCCCCTCATGGGCCCACCACGGCTCTTGAATGGCCTCTTCAAGTCCCTGAAGCGCCTTTATTGGCCTAAATGGACCCCTGATTGGCTTATGTGGTCCCTGATGGTCCTATATGGCCCCCATGAGCCCTCAACGTCCCGAGACAGCCTTACATTATATGCCACCGGCCCCTGGTAGGCCTGCACTGGACCCACTGGGCCTATACCGACCCATAAAGGGCCCATGTCGAGCCCTTATGGGCCTCCGATGACTACACGCCGGCATGTGTGGCCCCATCAGCAGTGGTCCGTCTATCCCATGTACTTACGGTCTTTTTGGCCGATGTGACACCGGTAGTATATAGAAATGTCATGATTAAATGTCGTTATTATATAGTCAAAGGTCACGGAAAGAATATCCAAGCTCAAAAATGGCCTCAAACCCAACAAAAACTGATACAAATCCCCTTCAAAAGTCATAAGTCAATGAAACGCCATTGGGGAATAGCTGCAGTCCCCCGCAATTTCGTCACGAGCATCGGGCCAATCAGCGTTGAGTATTGCCGAACGCCGATTGGTCGATTTCCGCTAGCTTGTAAATGCTGCTTGCGGATATAGTCTTGAACAAGTGAGGGTCGCGGCAACTAAATATTGCTTGTCACCACTTTTTCTTCGGGAGCGTTCTACCTGGTTTATATAGCCTTGGGCTAGCATAGGCAGCGGAACGGGGGGGGCACCGGGGCACCGTGCCCCCCTTGATTTTGCCATTTTAGCATCATAGCCCTATGGGCGTTGCATGGAAAGAATGGGACCAAAAGACTTTAACATTAGCCCTATGGGCGTTGCATGGAAAGAATGGGACCAAAAGTCGGCAGTGCCCCCCCCCCCCTTAGTTGAAGATGTTCCGCCGCTACTGGCGTTCAGAGGCGGATCCAGCTCAGAGGTTTGGGGGGGGGGGGCAAACCATAAAAATTTATCGATTCTTTCCATGCATCGTCCATAGGCGTAAT